GTTACTAGCTACATAGAACCCACTGTCTGGCCAAGTTGTAACTTCACCAGCGCCCTTTTGCAGACACTACCCAAGGGTTCCAGTCTGTTCCTCTTCTAAACCAGGGTTGCAGTGAGGAAATACTCATGGGTAAGGGAAAATCAGAATTTTCTCTCCAAGGGCCTAACATGTGCAGGGGCTGGGCTGGCTTCCTCCCTGTGTTGGTGGTAGATAATGAGGCATAATGTAGTTCATTATGGTTCATTATGGTACAACATGGTGGCTGTGTCGGGGGCCCTGGAAGCCCAGGAGGAGCCCTCTCACCTGGGGCTGGGGTCCCAAGGTCTTTCTTGGTCTTTCTTTTCAGGTGTATATCACCTGCTGGACGAGCGTCTCGAGTTGGATGGGACCCTTTAAGCCTGGCCGGAAGTCCTGTTTTTATAACACCTCCTCGTACAGGTAAGCATTTCCTGTTTCAAGTTGTGGAACACGGGGCAAACTCCTTCCCCATTTTGGGCCTCAGGGGCCCCATCTCTGAAATGAAAGCATTGGCCACCGTGATGTGTGGGCCCTGGGTTCTGGAAGCTGGGCAATGGGGACAGGTGAGAGGCCTCAGCTGGCTCTGTCCCAGGATGCTTCACCCACACCATGGGAAGTCCTTATCCCGGAAATGTGGATGGCCTCTCCTTGGTACAGGCAAACTAGGGAAAGGAAGTTCCAGAGAGGCCAAGTGACTGCCCACTGTCACACAGCTAATATGGCCATACTGCGACTGGGATTCGGGGCAGGCCCTCTCTCCCGGGGAAGACTGTGACCCTCTTACCCTCCTGCCTGGCATGTCTTTCCATCTGGACTGTTGGCAGCTGTCAGCTTGCAGATGATAAGTGGGAAAGCTCGATGTGTGACTGCTGTGACTTTGGCTGTTCCCACCCAAAGAAAGGTCGGCACCATGATCAGGCAGGCAGGACCAGATCAGGGGGCCACTGGGGGCCTTCGGCTTGTGTGGGCTGATGGATGTCACTGAATCTGTCATGGGCTCAGGCTCTGGGCTGGGAGGTGGGGGCCGTGAAGGGATCATGGCTCTGGTGGAGTCAGCTGTGGGCTGGCCGGTGACCTCCAGCTGCCTCTCCTGTCCCATGGGTGCTTTGAGGAAGAAGCTCTCTCTGCTCAGTGCCAGGGCCTCTGATGGGAGGTGCTAATAACTTATTCCCCCTATAACCATCCCAGACAATTCAGATTCTTCAAAAAGATATAATCCTATAATTCAGACCGTCCCTCTCTAACATCTTAGTGTATCATATCCAGATGGCTTTGGTTATTTATACATGTGAGTATAAGGGTCCAGTCTTTGAGATATTCTATGACATGCTTCTATAATACTCTGCGACAACTCTGTAGGTCAGATCTCCCTTTTACGTTTATGATGGTGTAATAATCTATGGAATTGGAGGTTCTAGAACTGAACCCATACCGTGTGGCTGGATATTTGTATTCTTCAGTTATTGTCTCTTAAACCCTGCTAGGTTGACCCCTCACTGCTCCCTGTCCCTATTTAGCAGATGAAAACACACACATGCTTGGGGTGTAGCCCAGCTCTGGGCCTCTGCCCAGAGGGGTTGGGGTTGGGTGGGAGGAAGATGCCAGGGCTAACAGCTTCCCCTCCACAGAGTTCCCTGGGGAAGAGACACCTATATGGTGGTCACGGGGCTGCAGAAAGTCAAGAAGCCCCCAGTGTTGTAGTTTACGGGTAAGTGCAGGGCTGGGCCGCAGCCTAGGCCCTAAAAGGACTGGTTCCTCCACCACCATCCAGGTTCATGGACACTTGTTCTTGGTCCTGTCCCCCCTGCCCAGTCCATCTCAAGCCACACCCCGCTTCCCTTCAAGTTTCTGGCTTTTCTTTTTCCACTGCAGTAAGGAACTCTGGGCTCATAATCAGCTCAGGCTAGGCGGCCACACCTCTGGGTAGTCCTGCAGCATCCTTGGCCCCAGCCTCCTGCAGGACACTGAAGGACCTGCTAGTGGTGCTGCTGGCTTTCAGCCGTGTCACCGCTGCTGATCCTGTTCCTGCTGACCCTGAAGGTGCTCAAGACCTTCCAGCTGTCCTCCCGGCTGCCAGGGACCACGTTGAGGGAGGCCCTGGCCAATCTGGATGCCCAGGAGATGGGTCCAGTGGTCAGGGCAATGGAAAGACTCTCTTCTGAGGAGGAGATTGACTCGATGTCCCAGTCTGCTGTCGAGGAAAGCTGGGAGGCAGCGGGCCCTTCAGAAAACTAAACAACCCTTTTATATACGTACAATAAAGTTTTCTATTTCTCTAGGGCTGATCTTGCCTTAACTCTCTCTGGCACTCTTGTGTTGGTACTATGTGTTGGGGGGTGACCTCTGAACCGTGTGATGTGGAAGTGGATTCTCTGGAGAGGCTGCCACAGTGGTGGGTCCCTGGGGAAGGCGGCATCTGGTGGCTAGTTAGCCCCAGCACAGAGCTGGCTTACTCTCCGCCCATGGCTTGCCCTGGCCTGGGGTCTGCATGGTAAGTGGTCCAGACTTTCGGCCTCAGCTGCCAACCTTGACCGCTCTTATGGGAAATGGCCTGCGGCTACCACCTTTGCCTCCCAAGGGCAGCTGAGGCCCTCCTTTCCCCAGCACTTCTAGGGTGTGGGAACTGGAACTTCACTTCACACACAGTGGGGAGTCTGCAGGCCTTGGTCTTCCTGCCCTTATGTTGCTTGCTGATCACTGCTGGAATGGGCGTGCCCATTGGCCAAGGCTGCAAAGTCGGGGTCTCTTTCCCTCCTCCACACCTCCTCCTGGACAATCAGAAATGGAGCTAAGCGTCTGGCCCCTGAGGGAGACTGGAGGCCTGAGGCTGGGAGCCGGGCAGAGCTGCTGCCCCTGACTGTGGGTATCAGGTGGGAAGCTGAACAAAGGAACCTCACTTGAAATGGAGTCCAGGGGCCAGAACGGGGAGTGCTCCCACCTTACTACCTGTCGTCAATTTCAGACCCCAAGAGAACCTAGGCCAGGGCTTCCCAAAGAAGCACACCTTGCATTTTCCAACAGAAAGAGGCCTATCTCACTACCCCAGCAGGAGGAAGGTTTTCTCCTGCCCAGCAACAGCCCAGCCAATGAGAGAGGGTCACAACTCAGCCAATGAGAAGCGGCTACACTCTGAACTCCTAGTTTCCTCCAATGGACTCTTGGTTTATAACAGCCTCCCCCAACGCCTCCCTTTTTCCTCTATAAAGGAACGTTTCCCTCCTTTGTTCTTTGGACTTGCCTGAGTTCCCCATGGATTGCATGTCCTGAATTGCAATTCCTCTGCTATTCTCGAATAAACCCACTTTACGGGTAAAATAGCTGGCTGTCTTATTTTAAAGGTTGACGGGAGTGGGAGCTGGTTTGCCATGGCTGGGCATCAGCAGATGCCAAGGGACACTTTTTGCTTCTTAGCTCCAGCCCTGGCCTAGGCTCTGTGAGCTGCCCCTGCCTCCTGGTAGCAAGTCCCCTGTCTGCTCAAAGTGGGGTCTGTGAGCTGCAGTAGAGGAGCTCAGACAATTGTGGGTGGGTATCCAACAGCACGCCTCACAGCAGCCTTAGTCCCAGGGGCTCAAAGTCCACGATGCTCCAACCCTGTTGCAGTGTGAGGGCCTTTCTCTCAGTGGGTAAGGCTGAGACCACCCTCCCTGTCTCTCTACCTTGCCCCACCAATGCTGAGCCATCCTCTCCCAAGGATTCCATGACATCCTTGGCCCAAATTGCAGGTGCTGCCACCATGTTCCAAAAGAATGAGCCCATCCCCTTTTTCCCTGCCCCCCCCCCATTCTCCCTCATCCCTCATTTCTAGGGTGGCCAGATAAAAACAAGATGCCCAGTTATTTTAACTTCAGATAAATAATAAATTTTAAGTATATCCCAAATATTGCTTTTTTTCCTCCTAAATCTCACAACCCCCTTTTCTCCTCCTCCCTCCGCTTCCCCATCCTCCCCCAACACCAAGCTCAGAGGGTTGGCAGACTTGTCCTGTTCTGGCAAGTTGCTACAGTAACGTGAATTAGTGGTGGGAGCGAGCAGGTGGCGGAAGGGCGGTTTTAGCTCCAGTCCTATTCCTGCCACCCACGGGCTAAAGGAAACAAGGCCAGTGCCTTTTGGGAGCTGATTCTCATCTATAAAATGGAGATAAGATCGCGTGCCCGTAAGCGCAGATGGAAAGTGCTAGCCACCGCCGGACGTTTACTTGATCAGTCTTGGAGTCAGGCCGTGGGTGGGCTCCTCCTTTGCCCACGGGTGGGCTCACCCCAGCAGGGCTGGCCCTCAGCTTGTTCCCAAGGAGCCTCTCGTCGCACCAGCCAAGCCCTTTGGTTCCTACTCACCCACATACTCCAGGTAATTTGGCTTCTCCAGGCCAGAGTTTGGTCAGGCCCTGGGGCTCAAGTCAGTGTCTCCATGTCCCTGACTTGGAACAGGAGCGCCTCGGAGCCCGAGAGTCTCCCTGGTCACCCAGGGTCATGCTGGGTGTCAAGGGCTTTCCAGAGGCCCTGTGAGCAGTGGACCAGATGCTCGGCTTTGGAGCACAAGCCCTGCCCGCTCTGCTGTGAGTTTCCTTAGACCAGCCGCTTAAGCATTGTGGGTCTCCATCCTCAGATGCCCAGTGGGCATCACATCTCCGCCCACAAACTGGGATTGGAGAGGGTGACTTCCAGGACACTTTTACTGGAGGATCTAGGACAAACAAGTCATTCCTTCTCTCCTTCTTTGTAAACATGGGGTCTTAGGAGTGATATTACTGGACGATTAAGAGCAATGTCTTGGAGTAAAGAAAAAAAAAAAAAAAACCTTGGGTCTTGGATCTGCCACTAAGAGCTGTATGGTGTTGGGTGGATGACTTCACCTCTCCGAGCCTTAGTTTCTTTCTCCATACGGTGGCCATAACAAGTGGCCTCAGGGAAGGCGTGAGAATGAAATGAGCTAAACTCACAGAGCACTTGGCACCGTGTGTGGGACACAGAGAGCACTCACCGAAGGACAGCTGTGGGATTTTTATTATTATCGCCAGGCAGCAGCGAGAGCCAGATGTGACTTCCTTTGCTTCCAGGAAAGTTCCTTCAATTGCTTAAAACGTAAGCCGGGGGTTCCAAGGGAAGGAGGTAGGGGTAGGTGTGGTGGGTTAGGGAAGCTGTGGACCCTGAGTCAGGCAAAGCATTATGGAGGCATCTCTGACTTCCCCAGGGGGCAGCCACTGCCAGAAATCTGGGGGCTGGATCACCTGGGTCTCCAGGAGAGTCCACCCCCTCCATGGCCCTGTCCAAGGTGTTGAAATCTGCCCCAGATAGACTCCTCCTCGTCACGCACACCCATGAATCACCTGCTCCCTACCTCCATGCAACTTTACAAGTGTACCCTGAGCATCTACTACATAAGGGGTAGAAGTAAAAAGAATTTAGAGGCATCTCCAACCCAACTGGCTCATAGCTCATAGGGAAGGAACTCAAGCACACAGAAATGCCTTAGGAGCAGAGAGGTCCAAGGCTGGGGGATTCATTTTCCTATTTCTTGGGTTTCAGTGACATCCACCTCTTGCGTCTACCTTTGCTTCTTCCTTTTGTGCAACCTGGGCATCCTCCAAGTCTGTGCCTCTCTTACCTTTCCTGATCTGACCACGGCATATGAGTCTTCCCTGAGGCAGCTCTTTCTCTACTCACTAATGTCACAGAGTCAAGAGGACTAATGACCAATTTCTTAGGGGGCAGGGTGGAGAGGAAGGGTAGGATATATATAGAGAAAGCAGAGGGCCAGGGGTCTCTGTGAAGTGGAGGAGCTGCCTAGACAGGGGTGAGCTCCTTGTCGTATTTCTGCATGCCCTCGTCCGGGAGCAGCACCTCCACTGTGAAGCTGACCTTCTTGGTGTGGACAAAGCTATAGGTGTTGTCGAAGCGCAGGACATCTGGGGAGACAGATGGACAGACGGGTAGTTGGGCCTGGCTTCACGCTCCTTGTGTCCCTGCCCTGGTCACAGGGGAGGACAGGCTATGTTCCCACCTGCTGTGTTTGCCACGCTGGGCCAAGTTCCCACCACTCCTCTTCCCTTCCCCATGGGAACTGCCACCCCTGAGCAGGGCCTTTAAACAGACACTGACCTCCTCCTGGCACATGCCCAGCTTGGCTTTAGTTGCACCAACTGGCAATGAGAACAATGGCCACTGCATCCCATTGTCTCTACACCTGGATACTCGCACAATGTGGGTGGGAGGGGGCAGTTGGAAACTCAGAGGCCTCACAGCCCCCTTGAATGGACCCTGCCTCCTCACCTCCCCCCCCCCCCCCCCCCCCCCCCAGCAGGGCTTGTAACCTTGGCTTCACAGGTAAGCAAGCCAAGGGACCAGAGTGGTAAGACTTTTGTCCAGGGTTACACAGCGACGCTTAGGCTGACGTGGGACCCTGGCACCGCACTTAGCTATGTGGCTCTGGACAGCTTGACTTACTTCTCAGAGCCCCAGTTTCCTCCTGGGGAAAGTTGTACCTGCCCTATTGTCCCTTGCCTGTGTCCTGTGGCCCGAGTGCTCTCAGTCCCCCAGAGCCTGTGTGTCTCTGGCTCTTGGTGCACAGTAGATGCTCGCGAGTGTAGACTGAATGAGCAACTGTGTGAATGAATGGTGCTAACCTGGGCTGTGTGTCCCTGGGAGGTCACTGCCCCTCTGTTTCCTCCTCTAAACCATTGGACACGTGGCTCCAGCTTTCCAGAGCTGGGGCTGGCCAGAACAAACTTACAGACACCGGCTTCTGAGCAGGTGAGGCTGCCGTCCTCCGGTACCATGTGAGCATTGTAGCGCTGGCTGGCCACCACCTCCGTCATCTCCCCTGCCCGCTGCCGCTCCCCCATCTTGGTCTTCAGGAAAACCCCAAAGCCGATGTCAGCACCATCAGATGAGAACTGCCACCTGTTAGGGAGGCAGGGGGGCAGGTTGCTCCTCAGTCTGACGGGCCCCCCAGGGGCTAGGGCCCAGCCAGGGGTGGGGTGGTGACCTGTCCCTTACCTGAGGACACAGCCTGGGAATAGGATCTCATACTCCACCTGGTGCGAGGAGCCGCGGCTGATCTGCACTGAGTGTTCATACTGAGTCTTCACCTGGTCCCGCACGTACATGGACTTGGGGATCTCCCCACCATAGTTGATCTGCAGGCAGAGGATGGGCTGGGCTTGCTCTCCTCTTCCGGCCATGGCATTGCTTATGCTGCCGCTCCTGTCTGAGGCGCCTTCACCATCTCCTGGAACTATTCTGCTCATTCTGTTCTCCCTCCCCCCCGACCCCAGAGTGCCTTCCCTGACCCCCAGGCTGGGTCAGGGCCTCCTCTGGGAACTTCCCCTTCCGGTTCATCCCTTTGGGTCAGAATGTCCTCCATCCTTGTTTGATGTCACAGCTGCTGGAAGCCCAGTGGGGACACAGCTGGAACTGTCTAGCCCAACACCTGGCTCCCAGGGGTCTCTCTACAGACATTTGTGGAATGAATGAGCAGATGAGAAAGGAGCCCAGCTCTACTCCTCTCGCCTCCCCTGTCCTGAGGCTCTTCATACCTTAGTTAAACATTTGGGGTTCCCATCAGGGTCGGTCAGGGTCCCCCCAAAGTGGGCAGGCAGTTCCTCAGGACTGATGAGTTTCAGCAAACCTTCCTTCCAGTTGTCTGTGGCAGAGGCATTGAAGGGTGGTTATCAGGCATGGAGGGGACCCATCAGCCCCTCATTCCCACCCTGAGCTTGGGGAGAAGCCTTATAGGAGCTGGGCTGCCAGGACTAATTCCACAGCCTCTCAGGCCTCCAGCCGCAGGATGTATCTTCCAGCGTCATGTTGCTATGGAAACATGTTTCCCCCTGGCTGATGGGTTCGGACATTTTTGAGGGTCTCTCAGTCATAAGTAGTGAAGACAAGAGTTGTCTGATCGTCTGAAAGAGACTTTAAAGCCTGATGAGGTCAAGGACCTTGTTGGGGGCCCACACAGTGTGTAAGTGGCATATTCAAGTCAGTCCTCTCAGTGGGGAATGGACACCTGTAGGCCTTTGAAAGGACCTTCTGCCTCTCCACTCCTTAATCGCTGCAACCATAATGCCCATTCCTGTTCTTCATGCCCTTTGCAAAGCTCTAAGTGTTCTAGGTCTTGGGGTGTCACCGTAGCTCCAGCCCTGAGACCAATCCAGGCTATCCCCCTGCATGGCCATGAGAGATTCGCTGCCACCAGTGGGAGTAAAGACCACAATGCCTGGCACACCAGGGCCAAATGCACAGAGCCTCATGTGGGACCAAGTGGGCACCACCAAGTGGGACAGAGGCTGGACTTGGGCCTCTGTTCCAGGATTTGGGGGGCTACCCTGCAATCCACCAGCTCCCTATCCCAGTGGAATTGGGCAGAGGCAAAACTCAGGTACCAGGAAGAGAGAGAAAGCAGGAATTTGTAAGATCCCCACCCCCCAACCTCAGCTCTCCTGCTTTGATGATCTGACTACTCTGCCTGTGAGAAGTTATCCTCCAAGTTCAGGGTCATTGGTTTGAGTGTAAGAACCATTTCTTTTCTATCTTTCTTTCTCTTTCCCTATCATTTTAAAAAGTAACAATTTTTCCTACTTATAAAAGTAATATATGGGGGCCGGCCTGGTGGTGCAGTGGGTAAGTTCCCGTGCTCCACTTTGGTGGCCTGGGGTTTGTGGGTTTGGATCCTGGGTGCGGACCTGCACACTGCTCATCAGGCCATGCTGTGGTGGCGTCCCATATACAAAGCGGAGGAAGACTGGCACAGATGTTACCTTAGGGACAATCATCCTCAAGCGGAAAGAAGAGGATTGGCAATGGATGTTAGCTCAGGGCCAAACTTCTTCCCGCACACAAAAATTCCATCATGCTAAAGTGGAATTGACTAGTAGTTGTAAGGGCAAATACAAATTATAAATAAAAGGCTTAATTCTCCCATTGAAAATAAAAGAAGAGACTTCCTTCCATTTTTTTAAAAAAAGTAATGTGTTATTATAAAAATTTAGAAAATACAGAAAAATACAAAAAATAAAATTCAAAACCACCTGGTTTCTTGCCATCCACAAATAAACATTTTATTGTATTTCCTTTGAGAAATATTTTTGTTTTCACAAAAAATAAGATCGAACTATCCATACCACTTTGTAACCTACCTTTTTTTTTTTTTTTAACTTAATGACATATCCCATGACATCAAATCATTTTTCATGGCTGCCCAATAATTCCTCAAATGGATGCAGTGTTATTTACTTATCCAGTCCCTTCTTGTCGAGCCTCCCTTCATGAACCATGTCTCCTCTCCTGCTCTTCTTCCTCATCCTTGTCAGCCCAAACTGCCTTTAGAAGCACTGAGGTGATGAGTGCTAAAGGAAACTGAGACCCATAGCCCAGGGGTTGACTAGCAACCAAACTGAAATCGATAAGGAGGAAGGTGTGGAGGCCTCAGTCCCCAGCGAGGGATGGCAGGCGATAAGGCAGAGGTAACTGGGTAGACTCTATAGTGTAAGACCTACCACACTTTTGAGAAGGAGGAGCCTATGACTCTAGAGGATGTGTGGATCCCTGGTTGGGGGGATGGACCAACCTCATTCCAAACCTCATGCACAGAGCTCACGGGCTGGAGGTGGAATTACTTACTTCCCAACACTACAATTTTTCTGCGAGTGTCCTCATTCAGGAAGGGCTTCATGAGATTGTAGCCCACGGGGAACAATTTGGTGGCTGGAGAGATACAAGCAAGTATAATGGGGAGAAAATAACTCCATTGGACCACTCTCTCCATAAGTCATAGCCAGCAATATGGAGGAATCTTGAATTACCTTGGCAAGTTCCAATGTCCTGCACCTGACAAACCATCCAACCAATTGGTCAACCAACCAACAAGCAGCCAACTAACCACCCATCCAATCTATCAAACAGCCAAAAAACCAGCCAACAAATAGCCAATCAATTCACCTTCTAAGCAGCATGTCACTCAGCCTACCAACCAATCAGCCAACCTACCATATAGTCAAACAACCAATCAATACATTAGCCAATCAGCAAACCAATCAGACAATTAAACAACCAGCCAACTGCCCAACCAACTACCCTCTCCAGCCAGTCAACCACTCAAGCAACCAACAAGCCAACCATTCCAACAACCAGCAGTCAACCATTCAAGATCCAGCCAAATAACAAACCAGCCAGCCAACTAACCAGTCTGCCAACTAGCCGCTCACCCACCCACCCAACCAAAATGCCAAATAGTCACTCAATCAGTCAACTAACAACTATCCAACCAACCAACCAACCATCCCACCAACCACCAGTCAGTCAACTAGCCAGTCAACTACTGGCCAGTCAACTAGACAACCAACTAAACAACTAATCAACCAACCAATCAATCAACCAATCAACTAACCAACCATCAAACATACATCCATCCTTCCATCCACTCCCCCACCCACCCAAACAACAGCCACCCAAATACCCATTGAGCATCCACATGGCCGCAGGCCAGTGAGAGATACAGTAGAAGTGGAGAATCATTGGTCCAGGCTTCAAGGAGCAGATAACTGCAAGGAAAACAGGATGAACGCACACAAGACAGCTGAAGGGCCTTGGAAGGGAGCAGACAAGAAAGGCCAGACTGGGCTGCACCAGCTGCCAGTGCCAGGGGCAGTTTCCGGAGGGAGACATCAACATTGCCAGAGAAGTGAGAGGGGATTTCTAGAAGAGCTGGGGTTGGAGCTGCCTCCTCTTGCAGTAAGATCAGCCACAGAAGTTACCATTTATGGAGCACTGACTCTGTTCCAGACAGTCTAAGTAATTTGCACGCAGCCAAGCAACCAACTGCCTCCCTACTGCCCAGGGAAGAAGGCTCAGAAATGGAAATGGAGGCACAGCGAAGTGAAGTCACTTGCCACACACCTTTCACAATGAGCATGATCTTCAGGGTCTCCGGATAATTCTCTTCAAGGAGGCCGAAGAACTGTGGAACCAAGAAAGAAGCCATCAGAGCCCACACCTCCTTCTGCTGCCCCATCGCCTTTGCGATCTCCCTCTGGAGGGTTCAGAGGGCTGTGGAGGGTTTCCCTTCTTTCCATCACCTCCTCAGGCCCCTGGAGGGGACCTTCTCAGCTTAGACTATGGCAACCACACCCTGACAATAATTACATAGTAATAAGCATTTTTAGAGTAAATGTTATAGTATAGTAATAATAATGATTACTGTTTATTAAACGTTCACCATTTGCCAAGCATTGTGTATACACCTTACATATCAACTCACTGAAGTAAGCTTGCATCCCTTTGAAATGCAGACTATTGGTATCCCCATTTTGTAGATGAGGAAACCAGAGCATGGAGGGGTGAAGCAGAGCTGGGGATGACAGGGCTGGGAAGGGTTGGGTGGAAGCTGGTCCCTATGGTTTCAGCATAGTGTTGTCCCTGAAGCCTGTTCTGTGGAATCTTCCAGGAAATATATCTTTGGGTCTTGAGTTGCAGTGATGCGGCCCAGGAAGGCCACTATCTTTTACCAAATCTTGGCTCTGAGTGAGCAGCCAGGTGACAGCAGGCCATGCTGGTCGTTAAAGCAAGCGGGGCGCGCCCAGGGGCCTTCTCCTCACCTCCTGGTACACTTCCACCAGAGGTTTCCAGAAATGCTTCAGTCCCAGGCCCTCACAGTCAAATATCATGATGATGGTTTCAATCTTCCTCCCCAGCTGCGAGGATGAGAGCAAGGCCCAGTTCCAAGGATCAGGGTGCAGGCTCAGAACCTGGGACATGGTGACCCTAACACATGACCCCTCAGGGCTTCTCCCAGCCCCCTACTCTGTCCTCAAAGGAAAGAGTGGACAAAACAGTGAACGCTTCTACCCACCCCTCCCTCCACCACAGCCAGACTTGGTGGTCTAGGGGTTAAGATTCAGCACTTTCACCGCCACAGCCCAGGTTCGTTTCCTGGTCAGGGAACCACACCGCCCATCTGTCAGTTGTCATACTGTGGGGCTGTGTGTTGCTGTGATGCTGAAAGCTATGCCTCTGGTGTTTCAAATACCAGCAGGGTCATCCATGGTGGACAGGTTTCAGCGGAACTTCCTGACTAAGACAGACTAGGAAGAAGGACCTGGCCCCTCCCTTCAAAAGCACTGGCCATGAAAATTCTGCGTATTGCAGCAGAGCATTGTCTGACACAGTGTTAAAAGATGTGAAGATGGCGCAAAAAGACCAGGCAGGGTTCTGCTCTGCTGTACGCAGGGCTGCTAGGAGTCGGAATCAACTTAACAGCGCTAAAAACAACCATCCACCACATCCAGCATCCATTATCCAGTCATCATCCGTCCATCCATCTATCCATTAACTGACCCACCCATTCATCTCTTTGCCCATCCATCCATCCCTACCGCCATTCCTTCATCCATCCATCCTTCCATTTGTCCAACTGATATTTATTAAGCACCTATTTTGTGCCAGACACTGAGAGCGTAACATTCTATGTTGTGCTCAACAGTCCACAGTTCTTGTCCTCAAAGACTTCACGCTATGGCTGGGGAGATGGACAAGCAACCGGGGCCCTAAGATGAGTCCCGAGATGAGTGTGGTGACAGGACAGCACAGGAGCTGCGGGAACACACGTTAACTGGGATGGGGGCCTCAGAGGGGGTGACATCTAAGTTTGAGACCTGAATGATAGACAGGAGAGAGCCAAGGGAAGTGTGGGTGGTAGGTGGGTGTGCTGGGAACAGGGTTATCCAGACAGACGGAAGAGCAGGGCCATAACAATATGAGAATTGTTGTAACAATACCAATAACAGAAGGAATGACAGTAATTAACAATGTTGAGAAATGTGTATCAGGCCCTGTGTGCTGGGCCACAGACTTGCATTATCTCATTTAATCTTTGCAACCAGTATTTACTATTATCTCCGTTTTGTAGGTGAGGAGACAGACTCAGAGAGGCGAGGTGACTTTCCAAGTTTGCGCAGCTGGGAAGTGGCAGAGCTGGTGTTTGACTCCAGAGCCCTCTGACTGTGACAGTAGAGAGCACAGGGGTGTCCCGGGACTATGTCCCCTGGCAGCCTCGCCAATGCCCCTAGTCACCCGCCCCGCTCAGCCTGGGCCTCACCCGCTCTGTCTGCAGGTCACACTCATGCAGGATGCGCTCACAGTCCCTCATCTTGGTCTTGAGCAGGTCCTGCTTGGTGACCGAGAAGAGCAGGCCCTTGGGGTCAAGCGGCCCTATGATGTCATACCACACGGGGCAGCCGTCACGGTCATGGCCACACAGGCCGCCAGGCATGTACTTCTGGACCACCTGGGCGTGGAAAGATACGTGGAACTTGGCTTTACGCATCTCCCCCGAGATCCCTGGACCAGGCTGACCTGGTGGCCCACGCCCACACACACCATGGTACAAGCACTGTCTCTCCCCCAGAGGGCAATCCTATTGTCCAAATGAGAAAGCTGAGGGGGCTGCAGGGGAGGGCCTTGCTCACAGTGGGTACACCGCAAAGCCAGGCCTCAAAGCCTGGCTCAAGGGCTCTGGGCTCCTTAGTTCTGCCCCCGCGTCTCCCATGTCCCTTTCCATAGAGAGGAGTTGGGCTTAGTGATGGAAAACATGGATTCTGAAGGTCAACAGACCTGGTTCAGATATACTCTACTGCTTCTCTGCTGTGCATCCTTGAGCAAGTGAAGCTACCTCTCTGAGCCCTCAGTGTTCTCAGCTGTAAAATGGGGACAAAAGTACCCACCTCACAGGGTTGTGATGAACTCAGGCAGGTAAACTCTTAACTCAGGCCCAGACCGCATAAACCCCCAGGAAACAGTCATAATTGTTACAGGAGAGGTGTCTGTAGATCCAGGGGGTTCCACAGGCCTCCCAGGCTTGCTACCCTTCACTCATGGTCCCCAGGGATCCAGAGGCTGCTTGGGAGGTATGTCTGTAAAAGACTGGGGTATTGGGGGCTGTTTGGCTCACCTCTGGGGGCTGCCAATCAAGGATGTGGTCAATGTCCATGGTCTTCCGGAACTCCATGTACTGAAAGGGAGGTGAGTAGTAAGGCCCCACCGGGCTCCCAGCACCCCTGAGGAGGAGGGGATGGAGGTAGGGGCTCGAGGTGTGGATTGCCCCCCACAAAGCCCCTCACCAAATCTCCAGAGGGGATGGGTCTCACCTTGCGGAGCATGGCCTCCGATTTCTGCAGGTCGAAATTCCGAGCTGTGGGAAGATGGGGGAAAGGCGTGAGGTGGGAAGGACACTGCCTTGTCCTGGTCCTGGGCAGCAGGGACTATGGAGGGGCCCGAGGGCCTGGGTGGGACCTTCCTTCCCTGCCCCCTCCCCTCTCTTGGACCTGAACACGTGAAGCAAGATGGTGTGGTCGGATCCTGAGAGCCATGGGTTGTTCTGGAGCAGTTGGGACCAGGCCCCTCTCACTGCCCCCTCATCCTGACCTCCCCCATCCCTGCCCTCACCTCGGAGCCAGCGCAGAAGGAAATAGTCATCAGGATTGGGCAGGGCAGGCAACACGTCCTGGACATTTTCTCGGAACTTGGAAGAGAGAAGCTTGTTAAGGTGGTTTTCACACTGAGCATTGACCCCTAGACCAGTGATGGTTTTCATCATCCTTCCTTCTCTTCCACATGCAGACTGGCCCACAGTGATGGAAGGATGGGTGGGAAACAGAGAGAAGGAGAGATAGATCATTGAATAGGTGGGTGGACGGATGGACAGGTGAATGGAAGGAAGGATAGATGGGGAGTAAATGGATAGAAAGAAGAATGATTGGATGAATAGAAGGATGGATGAGGGGAGTAGATGGACGGAACAAAAATGGAAGGGGAAATCAATGAATGGGTGGATGGACAGAAAGAGAGATGGGTGGGTGAATGGATAGAAGAAGAGAGGATAGATGGGTGGGTGGGGTGGGAGGGGGGATGGAAGAAGGATAAATGAGTGGGTGGGTGGGTAAGTGGATTGGAGTATGGGTGTATTCTTAATTCTTTCCAAGTGTTAGCCCACCAAGGCTTCTGCCATTTTTCATCCCATTTTCTGCAAAAACATGGTTAATGATTATGTGTCCTCTTCCCTGTTGACCTTGGGGATGACAACATAACCTGCTCTTACAGACAGGTCATCTTTCAGGGTCCTGGGGAGGGAGGGCGAACAGAGTCAGAGGGCAGACCATGAGCATCCTTCAGCTCCCACCTAAGGGACCTGGGAGGGTGGGGGGAGGGGGCGGCTGTCAGATAAACTCTCTGGGTCTGGCTCCTGGATGAGAAGAAGGCAGGCTTGATCTGACATCCACACTACTGCCTGGAAGTGGTGCTCTGTCCCTCAACCCTTGCCCTGGACTGGGCTGATGTCGCTGGGCACTGTGGGACCTGACTCCTAGGAGAACTGACAGCCAAGAGACAATGTCAATGACACACTAGGCCAACAGAGCAGGGTAGGGTTCCAGCCACAGCCCCCACCGCCGCCCCTCAGCCCTTTTTTCCTGGGGCTCCAGGGGACAGGCTCTCTTACCTTGGCCAGCGTCTCTGCCTGCCTGGGGCTCAGGTCTCCGACTCGGCCACTCATGGTGCTGGGTGAGGCTGGAGGTGTGGAGGCCACTGCAGGCAGAGGCCAAGCCTAGTCGTGTAGCTCTGACCCAGCAGGGGCCTTTTGCCCCCACTCCTGGGTGTGGCTTCAGGCCCCTCCCCCTTGGCTAACTGTTGGATCGCACATTACATAATTGGGATTAAGTGAGGTCCCGTGTTTGGCTCTGGGACAGGTCTGGGGAGCAGGTGAGCACAGAAGGGCGTGCTAGAGGTCCCCTGCCAGGCGGAGGAGGCTGGGAGGGAATGAGGCGGGCCTCCCATGGCCTGGGAGCCCAGGCTGAGTGCCTGTGGGACCCCCATCGGTGCTCCCAGGCCTCCAGAGAAGGGGGCATTCCAAGGAGAGTGAGGACTGCTCCCTGAGGGACCCTTTCTCTCCGAGCCTCCTTCTCCCCATCTCACTAATGAAGAGACCCCACACCTAGGGTTCTCCAAAGGTCCCCCCACCCCATCTCTGACAGGAGGGGTCAGGGACTGGTCAGTCTAGCAAACACTTCATTTGCTTTGTTGGCTGAGAGGCTCATGTCCTTTCGCCACAAGCATCCATAGTCAAGAAGAGACAGGCTGGGGCAGAAGAACGGAACTCAGAAGTCCTTGCTGCAGGTCTGTTTCTTGCACAGGCCAACACTGCCTTTCCTGTCTTTCGAATCCTCCCTCGCAGTGCTGGCCCTGCACCTTCAGCACGGGGAACGGCTGAGCACCCACACCGGGCTGTCCCCTTCCCATCTCTGAGGTCAGAGGACACAAGGGGCTTTGTCCAGGATCCTGCATCCCCTAGGCCCTAAGGGAGAGTTGGGGTGGGGGGCATGCTGATGGACTTGGAGTGGTGATAGCGTTTCTTGGGATTTTAAACATCTGATTAGTAAGGGGTGTTCACCATCTATGCAAGGTGATGAGGAAAGCCCAGAAGGTTCCCCTGTCCTTTGATTTCTGTCGTGCTGCCTGATGTTCCACCATCAGACGTGCCACAAGGCCTGGCTCTGCTCCTTATGCCCCCATAAGACTCCCTTTTAAGATGACACCTCGGCTTGTCACTTGCCTCATTTACAGAATGGAGCTATGGATGCTTGCCCTGTCCTCCTTACAAGATTGGAAGGAAGATCTAATGAGACGTAGCGATTGTGGAGGGTCAGTGTGTTTAAGGGATTATCCTCCCCCAGCCGTCAGAAACTCTGAGAAGGCAGAGGCCACATTGTCACTGATCGTCTATAAAGAAACCAGGAGCTCCTCTGCTGGAGACCACAGCACAGCCATGTGGCCACATCTTCCAGGTCTTGAGGGGGTCCACATGGGCTGAAACTACCCGTGGGCCAGCCTCGGCCCCAACAGCTGGGCTAGCCCAAGCCCCTCTGCCCAGGGCTCTCGCAGGTTCCCTGCCCCTAGGGCACCCTACACTCCACCCCTGGGCTATCTTGAGCCTCTGTTTTGGGCTATCTTGGGATCTTTTTAGCCTAGCTGAAGTGAGCTAGTGCTGTCACCTCCCTTCTCTGGACTCCTGATAGAACTGGGTCCAGAAGAAGGGGGCCATCTTTGGCCATCTCCCTCTATCTGGGGCGCCTGCCGCAGGCACTCAGCAGCAGTTAGGTAACTTTCCACACCCTAGTCCCACCCCACTTCACATTCTGGCCTTGTTCCGCAAAGGCCCGGTTGCCACCCACACCCACTTCCCTCCGGGCTGGTGGTATGTGGAGATTGGGTTCCTCCACGGCTCTTTCATTAGCCGCTAATCTGGCCCATTTCTCACCAGTCTCCTTTCTCGCCCTGATCGCTCTAATGTCTTGCACCCCAGTTACTTCTGGGGACATCAGGGGCCGGGCAGGGAGGGCCAGGAGGAGGTGTGGGCCCTCAGAGACACCCCTAAGCACTTTTCCTGACCCGGACCACAAATAGACACAGAGCGCCTACAGTGTGCACATATCATCATTGTCCATAGTGCTGTCCAATAGAACTTTCTGTGATGATGGAAATGTTCTCTGTCTGGGCTGTCCTGTTGGACACATTTGGTAGTGACTAATGACACGTGATATGTGGTTAGTGAGACTGAGGAACTCAAGTTTTATTTTAAATGAGTTTTGATTAATTGTAGTTCGAATTGGCCCATGTGGCTGTGGCTGCCGTATTGGACAGCTCTACCACATTCGTTGAAGGCTTATTACACGCCAGGGCCCCTTTCTAAGCGCATTATCTCATGTAAACCTCAGAACACCCCGTGGGGGAGGTGCCACCATTGACCCACTTTACAGACAAGCAAACTGAGGCATAGAGAAGTTAAGTGTCTTATCCAGAGTTAAGCCCATGCAATTAGCCACTCTACTGTTGCACGGTTAGACTGGCCCACAGTCTCGGCTCCAGGAGCTTCCACCATAGTCTGGGAGAGGACCCGGGCACAGAAGTCACCCCAATGGGATGCAGGTGGCATTTGAGCCAGACCTTGAGGAAAGGGAGGCTGTCAATTAGTGGAGATTGGAGTGGAGGAAACAGCCCCGCTAGTGGAGGGGATGGCATGGGTGAAGGTGTGGAGGTGGGAAAGTGAGAAGCGCATGGAGGGAGTGCTGTGGATATTACAGCAAACAAGATGGATTAGGTCCCCACCTGCGTGGAGCTCACAGGCCCCCATTTGTTGAGCATTTCCTCTGTGCTGAGAGCCTTACATCATTATCAAACCATTTGGGAACAGGTAGGGGAAGAAATGGAAGGTCAGAGAGATTAAGAAGTTTTTCTGAGGTCACACAGCCAGGAAATGGGGAGCAAGGATTTGAACCCAAGCTGGCCTGACTCTGGAACCTTCACCAGAACCACCGCCCAGCCTTGCCTTCTCTCGGAGGGCCTCATGTTGTGCCTGGGATGTAGTAAGCGCTGAATAAATGGTCTAAATAATCAGTGGTGTTAGGAAGCCTGGACCCACCCCGCTCTGGCTGTGGGGCATCTTGAGGCCAGCAGAATTAACTTCCCTCCCTTGAAACAAAGGCCCCGGCAAGGGGGAGCCCTCAGCCCCACCCACAGTACACGTCTTCTCCAAGTAAGTGCCCAGACTGTGTTTATCTCCTAGTTTGCCAAGCTCTCAGGGGACCATGGCGACAACCAGGACATAAGCAAACAACTTCAAGGAGGTAAACAGGGCTGCCTGCGCCACACCCTGGAACCGCTCCTTCTAGGCCATTACTAGGAAACGTGAAAGGGCTGTCCCTCTGGCCCCGAGCCGAGCACATTCCTGCTCCCACTCCTAGATGGGTGGTATTAGAACCAGTTGGGTGAGTACAGAGGGGCCCAGGAGGAGCGTCGCCGTGGGGTGAGGTGGACCACAGGGAGGTGAGGTGGGGCGGCCTAGGAAGGGTGGATGGAAAGAGAATCGGGGGTTTCACCGGAGTCCCAGTGGCGCTCTGGGCAGCACCTCAGGACAGTCTGCTTTCCATTTTTACTCTTGGGTAGTTTTGTCTCCTTTTTTAAATTAAAAAAATTTTAAGTGTGATATCATTCACATATCATAAATTCACCGTTCTTAAAGTGTACAATTCGGTGATTTTTAGTATATTCACAAGGTTGTGCAACTATCACCACTATCTAATTGCAGAACATTTTCATCACCCCAAAAACCCTGTACCTGTCAGCGGTCACCCCCCATCTCCTGTTCCCCGGCGCCAGCCTCTGCAACTACTAATCTGCTTTCCATCTCTGTAGATTTCCTTATTCTGGCTATTTCATATGAAGAGAATCATATAGGGTGTGGTCTTTGGCATCTGGCTTCTTTTACTCAGCATAATGTTTTCAAGGTCCATCCACATTGTAGCATGTGTCAGCACTTCATTTCTTTTTACGGCTAAATAATATTCTTTTGTATGGACATACCATATTTCCTTTATCCATTCATCACTTGTTGGAAATTTGGGGTTTCCACTTTTGGGCTATCATGAATAATGCTGCTATGAAATTTTTTTAATAACTAAGATTTTAATAAAGGAAAATATTCTTCATTTTTTCAACTGAAAACCATTATCTAGTTATCCCTAAGTCAATGACAAGATGGTGTTCTTGAATGCTTGGTACATTTGTTTTTTAATTATTTTATTGAGGTCATATTGGCTTATAATATTGTGTAAATTTCAGGTGTACATTATTGTATTTTAGTTTCTGTATGGACTGCATCGTGTTCACCACCAACAGTCTAACTTTTATCCATCACCATACATATGTGCCCCATTACCCCTTTTGCACTCCCTCCACCTCCTTCCCCTCTGGTAAGCACTAATTTGTTCTCCTTATCCATGTGTTTGTTTGTTTATCTTCCACATACGAGTGAAATCATGGGGTGTTTGTCTTTCTCTGACTTGTTTCGCTTAGCATAATACCCTCATGGCACAATTCTATCTTTTTTATGGCTGAGTAGTATTCCATTGCATATACCACATCGTCTTTATCTATTCATCTGTTGATGGGCACTTGGGTTGCTTCCACTTCATGGCTATTGTGAATATGCTGTGCTGAAGAGAGGGATGCATAAATCTCTTTGAATTATTTATTTCATGTTCTTTGGATAAATACCTGGTAGTGGAACAGCTGGATCATTTGGAATTTCTATTTTTAATTTTTTGAGGAATCTCCATATTGTTTTCCATAGTGGCTGCACCAGTTTGCATTCCTACCAGCTGTGTATGAGGGTCCCCTTTTCTCTACATCCTCTCTAACATTTGCTATCTCTTGTCTTGTTAATTATAGCCATTCTGATGGGTGTGAGGTGGTATCTCATTGTAGTTTTGATTTGCATTTCCCTGATAGCTAATGATGTTGAGCATCTTTTCATGTGTCTGTTGGCCACCTGTATATCTTCTTTGGAAAAATGTCTGTGCTATGAACAGTTTTTGTACGAGATTTTGTGGAAACATGTTTTCAAGTCTCTTGGGTATATCCTTAGGAGTGGAGTTGCTGGATCATATAGTAATTCTATGTTAACCTCTTGGGAAACCACCAAACTGTTTTCCATGGCTGCACCATTTTACATTCCCACTAGCAATGTGTGAGGGTTCCAATTTCTTCACACTCTCATGAACATGTATTTTCTGTTTTCTTTTACAAATTCTTATAGCCGGGGCTGGCCCCGTGGCCGAGCGGTTAAGTTCGTGCGCTCCGCTGCAGGCGGCCCAGTGTTTCGTTGGTTCAAATCCTGGGCGCGGACATGACACTGCTCGTCGAACCACGCTGAGGCAGCGTCCCACATGCCACAACTAGAAGAACCCACAACAAAGAATATACAACTGTGTACTGGGGGGCTTTGGGGAGAAAAAGGAAAAAATAAAAAATCTTTAAAAAAAAAAAATTCTTATAGCCATCCTAGTGGATACCACTCATTGTGGTTTTGAATTGCATTTCTCCAATGACTGAAGATGTTAAGCATCTTTTCATGTGCATATTGGCTATTCGTCCATCTTCTATGGAGAAATGTTTATACAAATTTTAAAAACGTCTACCCGTTTTTAAATTGGGTTCTTTGTCTTTTTATTGCTGACTTGTAAGAATTCTTTATGTATTCTGGATATTAATCCCTTATCAGATACTGGACAACTTGCAAATATTTTCTTCCATAATGTGGGTTGTCTTTTCACTTGCTTTAGTGTCCTTTGATGCACAAAAGTTCTAAATTTTGATGAAGTCTGACTTACCTACTTTTTCTTTTGTTGCTTGTACTTTTGGCGTCATAGCCGAGAAAGCACTGCCAAATCCAAGGTCATGAGGATTTACCTCCATGTTTTCTTCTAATACATTTATATAAGGTTTTAGCTCTTATATTAAGGTCTTTGAGCCTTTTTGGGTTTGTTTGTCTAATTTTTTATTGTGTTAAAATATATTTAACAAAATGTATCATTTTTAAGAGTACAGTTCCGTGGCAAAAAGTGCATTCACATTGTTACGCAACCATCACCGCCAAACATCTCCAGAACTTTTTCATCTTCCTCAACTGAAGCTCCGCACCATTAAAAACAAACTCCCCAGCCCCCTCCCCAGCCCCTGGCGACAACCATTCTGCTTTCTGTCTCTATGAATTCGACTACTCTAGGTCCCACATATAAGTGGGAACATACAGGATTTGTCCATTAGTGTCTGGCTTATTTTACTTAGTTTAATGTCTTCTAAAACTAAATGTCTTAGTTTAATGTTGTAGCACGTGTCAGAATTTCATTTCTTTTTAAGACTAAATAATATTCCATTATATATATATACCACATTTTGTTTACCCATTCATCTGTCAATGGACACTTGGGTTGTTTCTACCTTTTGGCTATTATGTATAGCCATGGCTATTATATTTGGCTATTTGAATGCAGTTATGAACACTGGTGTACAAGTATCTGTTCAAGACCCTGCTTTCTATTCTTTTGGGGATATACCCCAAAGTGGAATGGCTGGTAATTCTGTGGTTTATTCTAGCTAATTCTATGTTTAATTTTTTGGGGGAGCTGCCATACTGTTTCCCACAGTGGCTGCACCATTTTACATTCCCAGTAACAACGCACAAGGGTTCCAGTTTCTCCTCATCCTCCCCAACACTTGCTATTTTCTGCTGTTTGATAGTAGCCATCCTCGGGGGTGTGAGGTTGTGCCTCATTGTGATTTTGACTTATAGTTCCCCGAGGATTAGTGATATTCAGCATCTTTTCATGTGCTATTGTCCATTTGTATATCTTCTTTGGAGAAATGTCTATTCAAGTCCTTTATCCATTTTTTAATCAGGTTGTTTGGTTTTTCATTATCGAATTGTAGGAGTTCTTTACATATTCAGGATGTTAATCTCTTATCAGATATATGATTTGCAAATTTTCTCTCCCATTCCATGGGTTTCTTTTTCACTCTATTGACAGTGTCCTTTAATGCACAAAAGTCTCAAATTTTGATGAAGTCCAATTCATCTATTGTTTCTTTTGTTACCTGTGCTTTTGGTGTCGTATCCAAGAAATCCTTGCCAAATCCAATATCAGGAAAATTTCCTCTTAGGTTTTCTTCTAAGAGTTTTATAGTTTTAGCTCTTAGGTTTAGGTCTTTCATCCATCTTGAGTTAATTTTTGTAAATTGTATATGGTAAGGGTCCAACTTCATTCTCTGGCATATGGATATCCAGTTTTTCTAGTATCATTTGTTCATGTCCTATCACTTATGGAATGGTCTTGACACTCTGCTCAAAAATCATTTGACCTTATATGTAGGGGTATATTTCTAGGGTCTCCATTCTATTCCATTAGTCTGTATGTCTGTCTTCATGCCAGTACCACACTGTTTTGATTACTGTAGCTTTGTAGTAAGTTTTGAAATCAGGAAACGACAGACCTCCAACTTTGTTCTTCTTTTGCAAGGTTGTTTTGGCTACTTGGGATCCCTGGAGATTCCACATGAATTTTTAAGATGGAGTGTTCTATTTCTACATAAAAGTCATTGGCATTTTGATAGAAAATACATTGAATCTGTAGACAGTGTTGGGTGGTATTGACAACCTAACAATGTTACATCTTCCAATCCTTGAACACGCAATTTCTTTCCAATTATTTATGTCTTCTTTAATTTCTTTCAACAATGTTTTGTAGTTGTAGTTTGGTAGACTTGTAAAAATACTTTTTACAAGTTTTTTGCATCCTTGATTAAGTTTATTCTTAAGTGGTTTTTTTGGTACTATTGTAAATGGAATTCTTTTCTTTTTTTTTTTAGATTTTATTTTTTTTCCTTTTTCTCCCCAAAGCCCCCCAGTACATAGTTGTATATTCTTCGTTGTGGGTCCTTCTAGTTGTGGCATGTGGGATGCTGCCTCAGCGTGGTTTGGTGAGCAGTGCCATGTCCGCGCCCAGGATTCGAACCAACGAAACACTGGGCCGCCTACAGCAGAGCGCGTGAACTTAACCAGTCAGCCACGGGGTCAGCACCCTGGAATTGTTTTCTTTTTTTTTTTTTAGGTTTCTAGAACATTTTTTTTTCATTGAGTTAATGATAGGTTACAATCTTGTGAAATTTCAGTTGTACATTAATGTTTGTCAGTCGTGTTGCGGGTGCACCACTTCACCCTTTGTGCCCACCCCCCACCCCACCTGGAATTCTTTTCTTAATTTGATTTTCAGATTGTTCATTTTCATTACTGTGTAGAAACGCAGCTGATTTTTGTGTGTTGATTTTGTGTTCTGCAACTTTGCTGAATTCATTAATTCCAAAGCTTTTTGGCAGAATCTTTAGGGTTTTCTTCATTTAAGATCATTACATCTGTAAACAGAGATCATTTTACTTCTTCCTCTCCAATTTGGATGCAATTTATTATTTTCTTTTCTTGCCTAATTGCTCTGGCTAGAACTCCCAATACTACGTTGAATAGAAGTGACAAAAGTGGGCATCCTCATCTTGTTCCTGATTTTAGAGGAAAAACGCTCAGTCTTTCACCATTGAATATGATGTCAGATGTGAGTTTGATCCATCTTTAGTTGCTTTGTATATGATGTGATGTAAAGGTCCAACTTCATTCATTTGCATGTAGATATCCAGTTGTCCCAGCGCTATTTGTTGAAGAGACTGTTCTTTCCCCGTTGAATGGTCTTTGCACCCTTGCTGGATATCAGATGTTTTTGGGCCCGCAATTCTATTCCATTGATCTATATGTCTATCACTATGCCAGCATCACACTGTTTTGATTACAGTAGCTTTGTATTAAACTTTGAAATTGGGAAGTGCGAGTCCTACTTGACTTCATTTTACTTTTGCAGATTGTCTTGGCTATTCTGAGTCCCTTGCATTTCTGTATGAACTTTGGGATCAGCTTGTCCATTTCTGCAAAAAAGACAGTTGGGATTTTGGTAGGAATTGCATCGAATCTGCAGATCACTCTGGGGAGTATTGCCTCTTAACAATATTAAGTCTTCCAAAACATGAACATAGGTGTCTTTTCATTTATTTAAGTCTTTAATTTCATTCAACAATATTTTGTAGTTTTCCGTGTACATGTCTTGTACTTCTTTAAAGTTGTTCCTGAGTATTTTCTTCTTCCTTTTTTTTTTTTTTGAGGAAGATTAGCCCTGAGATAACATCTGCTGCCAATCCTTCTCATTTTGCTGAGGAAGCCTGGCCCTGAGCTAACATCTGTGCCCATCTTCCTCCACTTTATATGTGGGATGCCTGCCACAGCATGGCTTGCCGAGCGGTGCCATGTCTGCACCTGGGATCCAAACCTGCGAATCCCAGGCCGCTGAAGTGGAACGTGTGCACTTAACTGCTGCACCACGGAGCCGGCCCCAATTCTTTTTGATGCTATTGTAAGTGAAATTGTTTTCTTAATTTCATTTTGTGGGGTGTTCATTGTTACTGTATAGAAATGCAACTGATTTTTTTATATTATTCTTGTCTCCTGCAACCTTGCTGAAATTGTTTGTTAGCTCTAATATTTACCCTCCGTCCCTCGGGTGTGTATCTTCAATGTTTACTTTCATCTCCCTTTGTGATCAGAAAATAAATTCAAGTATGATAACGATGACAGTGATGTTGATTATCTGCTGCATATGATGTCTGTGCCATGGAGTACCAAAAGCCATCAGGAAATCAAAACTCTCGCTTGAGGAGACCCCAAAGAACTCTGTTGGTGACAAAGCTCTTCCTTTCCTTCTCTCATGTGCTGCGTGCTATAGGAATGGGTTGCTGCGGTGATAGGAGCATAGGGGAGGACAGTGAAGGAGGCTGCAAGGTGGAGGAGCTTAGATACTGTCCAGGGCTGGAGCTGGCACATCCTTCCTATAATCCCTGGGGTCATCCTAAGGGCATGGAGTGTCCCAAGTTCTTCATGCCAAACTGGTCTCTGATTTCATTGCCATGCTTTGGGAACCTGGAGTGCCCAAGACTACTGTCGGGGAGGCTGGGTCTGGCGGTGACCACACGTGAACTGCTCATGCAGTTATACTTTCTCTCCCAACACTGAGGAAATAATTCCAAATAGTTCAGAAATGTCTGGTGCTGAAACATAGAGTTTGAATCGTGGCTTCACCTCCAATGTGCTGTGTGACCTGGAGGCTGTTTTCTTACCTGTAAATTGGGACCATTAACCTCCTCTTCTCATAGGTTTACTGAGATGGTTAGAAGAGGCCAGTAAAGTATCTTACCCACTGCCTGGCACATGGTAAGTGATCAATAGTAGTGGCTTCGATGGTTATTATTGGGCTGGTCACCCAGCCTGTCTTCAACTCCAAGACGAGGGCGCAGCTAGGCGAGCCCATTCTTTCTGGTTCCTATTCCACTGTTCTGTGACTGTCCCGCCCAACCCTCTACTCGGGTTTTTCCACACCGCTGAGTCATGCTGCCAGACTCTGCCCTTTGGCAGTGCTCCTGGTATGACCCAATCTCTGGGGTGGACAGGCGAGGAAGACCCACAGCTCTGGAGTCAGACATCCTGTATTCCAGTCCTGGTGCTACCACTGAGCAAATGACTGTGTCTTGGAGACTTACTTTCTTCCCTTGTAGACCCAATGGAGATGACTATATTTATTTCCCAAGGCTGCCATGAAGACTAAACAGGACAGCACAGGGGCAGCAGCCCTCATAGGTGCCCAGTAGATGGTATCTATAATTTTTGCAAGGCTTTATCGAGCTTCTGGGGAGCACAGCCTGGACTGGTGGCTGGGTGAATAGGAGACAGACACGAGACAGATGGTGACTCTATTGCACGCTGAGCACTGGTTCTGTTGCTCTGAGAGCGTGGAGAAAGGACCATAACTCTGCTGGGGCTGGGCTGGGGAGAGGGCTAGGGAAGGTATTCAGAAAGAAGGCTCTAGGGGTCGTGAGGGTTCACAGAACGAGACCGGGGAGGGAGTCCTGGGCTGAGGGTACGGCATGAGCAGGGAGGCAGGAGGGAGCTCATGAATTGGTGAAGCTGGAACGGAGGTGTTGTGGCCAGGTCACAGAGGGCCTTGTAAGCCACCAGTGAGACTGACCTTTCCTGGGGGAAGTAGGAGCCAGAGAACAGCTTATGCAGGCAGTGATGTGATCAGATTTTCATTTCAGAAAGATTTTTCTGGCTGCCCTGTGGGGTCTGGATGGGAGGTGGTAGGAATGGGCACAGGGAGACTCAAGGACTCCTTTCTGGTAGTCCAAGCAAGAGAAGACAGACCCGACTGGGCCAGGGGCGGAGGGGAGGAAGATGGAGTCCAGAGGATTTAGAAAGCAAGCCCCCTAGTGGCAGAGCCAGGATGCGGACCCAGTGGGGAGAAAGGCTTGGCCCAGCGCCGCCCCCTAGTGGCTGAAGGCGGAGTTCACCATGGGTCACCTGAGTGCCGCTCAACTCAGGCCTGGCGTAGTGGCCTCTTCTGAAGTCACCGTGTGCTCATTAAGCTCCTGCACTGTCTGGACAGATGGATCCGGATTCACATCTTACCGCCTCCTGTTTATGTTGTGTGACAGGACGAGTGACTTCCTGCCCTGAGCCTCGTTCTCCTCAGCTCAGGCCTAGCACACGGTAGGCGTGGAGTGGAGCTGGCACCGTCACATCCCACCAAGAGGCACAAATGTCTGAGCAGTTTTCTCCAGACTCTGGGCCCTCCCCCACCCCAGGAACCCAGTGCCTTGCTCTGTCCACTGTGGGCCCCCTGCCCCAGGCTGGCCCTCCCTGGCAGAGGCCCACCTGCTACCCTGACCCTCTCCTCCCCTGAGAGTTAGGGCAGAGCCACTGCTGACAGCAAACCTGGGTGCTGGTCCACCTCTGCCATTGGATACTGGGCCCTTGGCTGAGGCATTCCACCTCGCTGAGCCTCAGTTTCCTTGCCTGTCAGATGGGGCCACAATCCCTATCTGCTTCAGGGTTGCATGTGAAAGGGTTGTGCAAACTGTGGAGTGCTGTGCTGTGGGGCTCTGGTGAAGCCCTCTTCTGGGCAGCTGTGCCTATCCCACAGCCCTGTCCCCTCCGGCTGGGGCTGTTGGAAGTTGAGCTGGACTGGGGTGGAGATTTAGGGGGCAGGGGAGCCTTTCCAACTGCCCTCAAAAAGCCCCTATGGGTTGCCGCCTGCATGGACCACAGCCCGCCCTGGAAGATTGGAGATGGGCCGGGAAGGGCAGGCCATGCCGCCCTTCCTCTGGACAGGTGAGCCTGGGTATTTCTAACCACCTCATTTTGAGCAAGAATTTTGATCCACAGCCTCTTGCCAAGATTTTTCCATTCTTTCCTGACAAACAACAAGCTCTGTTGTAAAATGGTTTTATTAACCACTAAGTGTACACACTTGCTCACAAAGAAATAGTAAACATCAGTCAACCGTCACCAGTGTCACCGAGAACTCTCCTCTGGCCTCAAACACCCCACGGCCACCCTTACCTGCTTCCTCTGTCTGGAAGGCTCGCCTGCACCTGGTCACCCCACACACGCTTCAGCTCTCCCTCCAGGGGTCATTTCCTCGGGAAAAGCACCTCTGACCCCCATCAGCTTTCTTTGCTGAATGTTCCCTCAGAATTCCGCTCCTCCCCTCCAAGCTCACGTGGTGACATGCCCGCTTGATAAGGGATCATCCAAGTCACTTCTGCCTCCCTCAATACAGGCAAGGTTCCTTCTAGCAGAGCTGGCTCAACTCAGTGGCCGTAGTGTCCCCAAGGCCTGCAGGACCTGGTGCTGGATGAAGAAACAAACTTTGGGAGAGCCAGCCCTTCTCTGGCCTGTTTCCTTTCTCTTTTCTTTTTTTTGAAGAAACTGACAGTATTGAGTCAAGGCCAGGGGTTGCTGAGAATGTGCCCCCTGTCTAGCTCCGCAAGTATGCCTGCCCACCTTGCCAGGTAGGAGATTCTGTTGTCACCTCTGCAGGTGGCTGCTGCCCTCTCTGCTTAACATGAGGTGCACTCTGCCAGCTCTGGGATTCAGAGTCCCTGGTGCCACACTGGATGCCCTTGTTCCAGCCTGTATTTGTGTAAATTACCTGTGATCAGAGCCTCGGGAAACCCTGTGCATGGGGCAGAGCAATCCTTGCTACCTGCAAGGAAACCAGGAGAGGCTGTGCTCATGGTGGGAAATAGGCTGTGGGCGGTTAGAAAGGCAAAAGTTAGGGTTCACATCCATGAACCCCTTGTTTTTAGGCCGGGGATGTGAAGGCTGAAATGAGGCATCATGAGCCCCTGTCATGACAACAGGTGGGCCCAGCGAAACCTGGCACAGGGTCCTCCTAACCCCAGTCAGCCCCGCCCTCCATAGCCTGCCGAGGGCAGTGGGAAAATGGCACTGGGACCCCTGGGGGCCTCAGGGGACTCCAGATGCTCCTGCATCTGGGGAGGCTGCATGGAGGGTGACCACGTAAGGCAACAGGGGCGGCGGGACAGCCTGTCACGTCTGGGATGCAGGGGCAGTCCTTGGACACAGGGATGTTCTGTGATTTTTGCCTGATGGCCCTAGGCTGTCTCCCGGGTTCTGGCACAGCAGTTTTCTTCCTTGCCAAACAACTCAAACACCGTTGGACCAGGAGCACCTCATGGCACTGGCTTTTGGCATTTCCTTTTGTTTAGTTGGTTTGCTTTTTACAGCAGGAAAGCCCCAGTTCAGACATTGTGTGCTAAACCATGAATGATGCAGCTGCCACAGGTGGAGGGGCTGGGGACCCTAAGGACCTCACATAGCTCACCTGAAGACCCCCCAAGCCTTATCATTTTCTTGCCCCAAACAGATCCTAGGAAATTGAGAAACCTCCTATTAATTGGAGAAAATGAAATCAGAATCTGAAGGTGGAAAGGGCCAGAGCCCGGCCCCTTGCCAGCAAGGCCCTTGGATAGTGTTTGCTAAGGCTTCCAGTCTCTGGGAAAGGCCTTGGCAGCCAGGATGCTGACACTTCACAATGAGGACCCCTTTTACAGGGATGTCTGAGCACTCATTCTCGGGGACATCTCCTGGGTAGACAGCACTCCTTTGCCCAGTGGGACAGCAGTACAGAAGGACAAACCCTAAGGAGCTCGGGGACAGGGATCCAGAGGCAAGGTCTTTGGAGATACGGGTGGCCACTGGCCTGGACCAGCTAGAGGGCAGGGGACAGGGTGGGGGTGCTAAGGGATTGGAGAGCACAGGCACAGAGATGGCCGGGGTCTTCATTGCGCTGGGGTGGGTCTCGTTGCCTCGATACCCTGAATCTTCTCCTCAGAGGCCTTGTCCGGGAGCAGCACCTCCACAGTGTAGCTGACCTTCCTGCTGTGCCTCAGGCTGTGGGTGTTGTCAAAGTGCAGGACGTCTGCGAGGATGGAGGAGAAATCAGGCGAAGCCAGCCCGAGTCCCTGCCCGCCTGCTGCCCTTGGGAATGGGTCGCCCGGGACTGGGGGTGGGGCTATAGGGTCAGGCACTGCCCAGCCCCCGGCCCATTGCTTGTGACCATCTCCTTGGATGGTACTTGTGCGAACTAATGGAATAATAATAGACCCCAGCATGCATCAGCCCCTCCTGTGTGCCAGGCATTACGTCAGCGCTTCACAGCTCGCTGGGTCCTCAGGGCAGCATCACACGAAGGTACTGTCATCCCCATTTCATGGATGAGGAAACTGAGGCTTAGAGAGGTTGAGATGACTTTCCAACCGTTACAGAGCAAGGAAGGGGAGGGACCAGATTCCCCTCTCCCAATGCTCCCGCCCAGAGAGGAGCCCTGCGTTCCCCGGAGGAGAGGGCTGAGCTCCCTAAGCCACTTTCTCATCGAGCCTTTCATAGAAGACATTTCCTTCAAGGCCAAGGTCCAACGTGAACTCTGCGACATGATGAGTCATCCAGTGGGAAGTCCCCACCTTCCCAACTCTCTCTTTCCATACAGGTGCACTAGGTATTAAAGCATTAGCAGAACTCCTTCTCATTCTCCAGAGGAGTCAACCCTGGGGTCCCCCTATCCTGGCTCTGTTCTCAACAGAGGTGAGAGGGCAACGCTGCTTCTGGTAAAGCTGATCAGATGGCATCTGGCCTGGGCGGTCTGGGAAGGAAAGCTAAACACCTGGAAGAAGCCATCCCTTTGGGGGTCCCAGAGTGGGGTGGTCCATGCATGTGGGCAAGCTGGGATGCCCGAAGCTGAGCCCCTGGCTGTTTTTCCCTGTCTCTTAGCCTGTCCAGCCCAGCGTGAGGCTTTCCAGGAGCTGGGGCCATTGTCCCCAGGCTGTATATCCCACTCTCCACAATGTGTCTCTGCTCTTGTACCCAAACCTGGGGTTGCTCATCAGATCCAACACGCTGAAGCCAATTGCCCTGACTCCTGTGGGATCTAGAAACTCACACACACCCCCATGTGCTCCCTGAGAGCTGGAATTAGTGGACAGAGAAGCCAGACTGGCAAGAGACCTCAGATCATTGCTCCCCATGAGGAGGAAAACACCTCCACTGAATGGCTCTTACAGACGCCGGGCTTGTCACAGCTGAGGCTCCCGTCCTGGGGCACCAGGTGGGCATTGTAGCGCTGGGTGGGCAGCACCTCCGTCATCTCCCCGGCCCGCTTCTGCTCTGCCTTCTTGGTCTTCAGAAAAACCCCAAAGCCGATGTCTGCCCTCTCTGATGCAAACTGCCACCTGCAGGGGACGGAGCCCCACTGATGACCACCTGATGGGCTCCGGGCCCCTCCCAGCTGTGCCGCCATCCCTACCTGAGAACACAGCCTGGGAACAGGATCTCAGTCTTCACCTGGACGAAGGAGTCGCGGCCCACGGTCGCTGTGTGCTCGTACTGCGTCCTCACCTGGTTGCGCAGGTAGTAGCTCTCGGGCACCTCGCCCCCGTAGTTGATCTGTGGGGGAGGGGTGGTGAGCGAGCACTGGACCACGGCCGTCTCCCCTCCCTCCCCATCCCCTGGGCACCCAGTACCTTGGTCAAGCACTTGGGGTTGCCGTCGGGGTCGGTCATGGTCCCCCCAAACTCCACGGGCAGCTGGTCGGGGCTGACAAACTTTTGCAGCTCCTGCTTCCAGTCGCCTGTGGAAGCAAGAGAGGGCCTCACGGGGCCTCAGGGAGGCTCGACAGAGGGGGCCAAGCCCAGGGAGGGGACCCGATATATCCTTGGCTTGCTCCCCTGGCGTCTAGTCCTGAGACCACCCAAGATCTTTACGTGGCCACCCAGGCTGGGGTCTAGGACCCAAAGCCTTGTCTGAGTGTGCAAAGGCCGACGAGTGTCAGGCCCAGGTCGGCACCCGAAGATAGAGGACGAACCAGGGAGAAATGGGGCCTTTCACATTGACCTCTGCTCCCCAGGCAGACATGGAGATGGGCACAGCCAGGAGGCCAAATCACTCACCTCCTAGAATCACTATCTTCTTTCTCGTTTCCTCGCTCATGAACAACTTGACCAAGTTGAAGGCCACGGGGAACAGCTTGGGGGCTGAAACGATGAAACTCCGTTGGGAAGCTGGACCAGGGAGGACTTGGATATACAAAGTCACAGCCAAGGGCATGAGCTGGACAACAGTCAGACCCAGGTAGATTCTGCCACTTCCTGCTGTGTGACCTTCACCCTCTCTGAGTCTCAGTGCTATTAACTGTAAAATGGAGATTAAATTAAGGTACGCATGACACTTGGCACAGTGCCTGGCTCTCAATAATTGGTTGCCTGCCCTGCTCAGCTGCAGGACCTTAGCAATGTTGATTCCCCACCGGTGCCTTTTCCTGTTCACACTCAGGCTTTCCCGGGGTTGCTCTGGAATCCTCTCGGGTGCAAGCATGTGCGTTAGACCTCACGTCCCGCCTGAATCGCTGATGCTCCCTGGGTACGTTCTGTGGGCCGGGCTCTGTGCCACGCCTTCTCCACAGACTGTCTCATATAACCTCACAGCTGTCTCATGGGGAAGGCGCCATTACAGTCCCATTTAACAGAATGGGAAAACTGAGGCTCAGTGAGGTTAAATAGACTTTCCCAAAGTCCCAGAACCAGCTAGATTGGAAGCCTCATAGTCTGACTCCAGAGCACACGTGGCCACCCCCTCAGTGTACGGCCGTCACAGACCAGGACCATTTCCCCTCAAAGTGTGTCCACCAACCAAGTGGTCCATGACCATCTGGTACCAGTCCATGCCCAGATAAGTAAAGAAAATAACAGCAGACATTTAGAAACCTATAACTTATTTGACAGTGCTATGCATGCTTTTGTACACTCCAAAAGTATCAATCTGGGAAGAAATGAACTCAAAAAACCTAATCTTCACAAAGGATGGTTTGAGAAGCCCCAAACTCGGTAGCTTGCCCACTGTGCCCCCCACTCCCCAGGAGGTCATCCCCGTCATGGGCTCACCTCGGATACCAATTAAATTCTTCAGCCTCTCGGGATAATTTGCTTCCAGGATGGCAAAAAACTGTGGAGTCAAGATGAATCTGGTCGAGGCCACACAGCAACACTCGCTCCCCCTGGATTTGGTGGCCTCTGATGCTGCTGTGACGAGAGCCCCCTCTCCCCCATCCCCGGCCCACCCCGTCTTCCCTGGGGGCGTGTACTTCATCCTCTGTGATGCTCTTGCTTTTCTTTCTCCTTGGAGGGGAGACCCCAGGCCAGCTTCACTGGTGGGCCCCTGAGGGGTGTCCCCCTCCCTCACGGACTGGAAGCTGGTGCGGGCAGTGGCTCCCTATTGGCCTCGAGCCAGCTGCCTGCCTCACCTGCTGGTAGACCTCCACAGCTGGCTTCCACAGGTGTTTCAGGCTCAGCCCCTCCAGGTCAAACACCAACACCATCGTCTCGATGTTCCTGCCCAGCTGCACCGGACAGCGCAGATATATGGGTCAGAAAACAGCTCCAGCTGGGAGATCCCAGCCAGAGAGACCTGGGCGCCCCTCCCAGCTTCCTGCCACCCACTCCCTTGGCTGCTCGAAGCATTTTCCAAACACATGGAGCCCATCTGGGGTCTGAGGAGATGCCACATCCGAACCCTGACACAGTGGCCCTTATCACATGATTTGCTCAACACTGTTGCCTGGAATTAGTTAACTGTGGAATTAAAGACATCACTCATTGCTCATTGGGCACCTTTATGTACAATAATATATTAAATCCAACAGCATCTGCAGTCCTGTGGCTGTTTCCAAGCCAGAGCTTCGCTGCTGGCAGGCTGTGTGGCCTTGGGAGGGTTTCTAACCCCTCTGAGCCTTACTTTCTTCCTCTGTAGAATGGGATAAGTCCAGGCTCTGAGAGAATTGCTGAGAGGATTCAACGAGCCCAGTGCCTGGCATGTGGCTGGACCCTGGTAAATTTTAGCAGATATTATTATTAGTGTCATCATCACCGTAATTATTGCCTCCAATCCGGAACATGCATGAATGGCACTCTTCTGACCCAATCAGATGAGCAATCTTGTCTGACAGACACGTCCATTCAAACTAGGCACTAAATTTGCTGCTTTGCAATTCACTCATGCTTGTTACAAGTCTCTGTGGAGGGCCCACTGTGCGTCCAGCCCTGCGCCAGACGCTGGGGACACAGGCCCTGTCCTCGTCACTGAGTCAGCCACTAGCCAAATTATCCCACAGTGACATAATGGCTCCCCCTGGGGTCTTCATCTGAGGCTCCTCTAGACACTTAGACTCACAAAACCAACCAGGACACACTTGCATTACAGTCACTCTGAAGGGGATGGGCCAGGAGACAGAGGTAGGGACGAGGAGGTCTACAGAGACGAGCGCGGGTCCTTCTCGGTTTGGAAGCCCCGCACCCCCAGCTCTCAGTGTCTTTTTGTAGCAAGTGCGTGGTAGCTTCCAAGGACCCACAGGGATGTGCCTGGTTCCAAGGGTCACTGATCTCAGGGATGTCCAAGGCAATGCTCCCCTCCCAGGTGTTTATAGTCATGCAATTTACAACTAGGAGACATCTTTTCCAAAAGTAAAGCTGACCGCCTGCTGTTCCCAGGGTTCCGGGGGAACAGAGCTAGAGCATTCGCTGCACCCAAGGCCAGCATCTTACCCAAGGTCAGAGGGGAAAGGGCTCTGGTGACCCTTGGCTCACACCAGCAGAGGGTGCCATGCACATGTTACATGCTCGTGGCTGAGTGACTGTGGAAGCCCGTGTCCCACCAGAGCCTGGAGTGCCGAGGGCTGGGGCAAAGCAGGGTTAGGGTGCCTCGCCTCTCTGGTCCTGGGGCCACCCTCAAGACAGACTGGGCCCACCATGCGCCCCCATCCCAGCCCTGAGAGCTCACCTTCTGACTCTGCAGCTCACACTGCTGCACAAGCAGCTCGCAGACCCTGATGCGCTTGCGGATCAGCTCCTGCGGGGAGGCTGACAGGAGGAGACCCTTGGGGTCAAGCTTCCCGACGAGGTCAAACCACACAGGGCAGCCTTCGTAGTCATAGCCGCTCAGACCACCCGAGTCGTACAGCTGGATCACCTGGCCACGGGGGTGAGGTCCTGACTCAGACCAGTCCACCAGGCCACGTCCCTGCTCCGTCAGGTGGCGGGATGTGGCGGAAGGGTACAGGGGAGGGGATCAGATGGCCTGGGGGATGCTGCACGGGCCTCACCTCTGGGGGCTGCCACGTGAGGATGTTGTCCAGGGTCTGTTGCTTCCGGAACTCCATGTGCTGTGAAGACATGGCAGGACCTGAAGACTGCCCACCCCAAAGATCCCCAGAGCATGCCCAGGCTCTGCCGACACAGAACCGGGCACGGGGATGCTGGGTGGAGAGCTGTGGGGGACCTGGGTCTGATGCAGAAAGGGATCCGAGGAGGAACGAAGAAGAACCACGAAAACGGGCCAAGAGTCCCCACCGCTTGTTGCTAACCCCTGGGGTACAGCACGAGGAAGCAGGAGGCTCACGAGAATGGGGCCTCACCTTCCGGAGCATGTCCTCGGATTTCTGCAGGTCAAACTTCCGAGCTGCAAGAAAAGCCGAGGTAAGAGGAGGCTTGAGGGAGGGTGTAGAAGGCGCCATTCTCTGAAAGCTTGTGAGGAAGTAGCGGGGGTGCCCCCGACTTTTCCTGACACCCCAAGAATACATTGGAGGCCTGGAAAGTTTTTTTTAAAAGCAAGGATTTTTAATCCTCTAGAAGACTTTAGAGGGCCCTTGATTTTAGTTTCCAGGCCTTTTAAAATTGCTGGTTCTAGAGGCTGATCTAGCCTGTAATACTTGATGTCTCCCTGGGAGCAGAGGCTGCCTTGGTGTTAGGGGTGGTGAGGAGCACGGGCTTTGGAGTGAGACAGACTTGAGCTTGAATTCTAGTTTTGTCTTTTTATTTGCTGCGCAACCTTGAGCAACTCACTCACCTTCTCTGAGCCTTAGTTTTTTATTCTGTTAAATAGGAATAGTATCTTTTTCAGAGTTATTCAAAGGATGACCTAAGATAAAGTATATAAAGTGCTCGCACATTACCTTGCTCCCAGTTAGTTCTCAATAAACTGTAGCTATTATAATTACTAATTGTGTGTGTGTGTGTGTAAGGAAGATTGGCTCTGAGCTACCATCTGTTGGCAACCTTCCTCTTTTTGCTTGAGGAAGATTGTCACTGAGCTAACATCTGTGCCAGTCTTCCTCTATTTTATGTGGGATGCCACCACAGCGTGGCTTGATGAGCAGTACTAGGTCTGCACCTGGGGTCCGAACCTGTGAACTCCAGGCCACCAAAGCAGAGCCTGTGAACTTAACTGCTATGCCACTGGGCCGGCCCCTCTGATTACTAATTTTGAAGAAATAAATGTACCTTCATTGAAAAGATGATGCTCTATTTTAGAAATGCCATGACCATTGCTCTCTGAGACCACTGGTTACTAAGGAATTCATCCAGTGATCGGCCTTTGATAAGAAGCAAGGTCAGAGATTTTCAAATAGAAGGGATCTGAGCTGCTATCTAGGCTTCCTCTGCCCTGATCATAAGCCACCTCCAGAGAAAAACCACCAAGGCTACCAGCTCTGCCTTGATTATCTCTTGTGATGGGGAGTTCACTCCCTCAGCAGGCAGCCCATTGCATTCCAAATCTGCCCCACAAGGATTCCAGCCCCATTGTCAAGGTCAAAAGAACATATGTTGCTGTTTGTCAACATGGAAAATCTTCAAATATTTGAAGACAGGCATCAAGTTCACCTGCCCAATCATTTCTTGCGGCTATACATTTATTAAAATCATCTTCTGTATCAGTGTGCTCCAGCAGAACTTTCTGTGAGGATAGAAGTGTCCTATATCTTAACAGTTCAAGTGCATGTGGCTCCTGAGCACTTGAAAGGTGGCTGGTGTGACAGAGGAACTGAAGCTTTAATTTAATTTAATTTAATTTAATTTTAATCATTAAATGTGGCTCGTGGCTGTTGACCTGAACAGTTCTAGAGTTTTTCTGTTGATCCTGTTGGTTTTCAAGGGAGATAAGCAAACATTATAACTCTTCTCTTCAAGCCTTTACACCACTGATTATTTTTTCTTTCCTTATAACGTTGGCAAAGGTCTCCGGTTCTGTGTTGAAACAGTAACGTTGATTGACATCATCCTTTCCTTGTTCCTGCTCTTAAAGAAAATCCATCTAAAATTTCTCCTTAAGCATAACATTTCTTGGAAGATTTTTGCTACATAACCATTACCAAGCCAAGGATATTCCATTCCATTCCTAGTTTAGTAAAACTTTTATTTTGTTTTTTCTTATAAATAGAATTTGAACATTTTCAAAGGTTTTGTCTGCATTGGGATAGCCACGTAATTTTTCATTTTTAATCTATTAATGTGTTCAATGACACTGGTAGATTTCTGATGCTGAATTCTTCTTGCATACTTAAGAGAAGGTCTCCATGATTGTGCTGTATAATTTTAACACCCTATTGGATTCTATTGTGTAAGATCGTATTTAGACTTTTTTACGTCAATATTAATAAGTGAAACGAGCCTAGAATTTTCTTTTCTTTTATTATCCTGATCTAGCTTTGGAATCAAACTTACGCAGGCCTTATAAGGTAACTTTACTCTTTCATATATTTTAAAACAACTTGAAAATTTTGTATAAGTAGGAATTAGCTGGACCTAAAACTTTGGAGGAGTCTACCTTTAAAACCATCGGGGTTTGAGTTTTAATGGAGGGGAGGTTTTTATTACCATTTAAATGTCTTTAATATTTATCGGTCTGTTGAGACCTCCTATTTCTTCTTTCTGGATTTTGGCCTTATATATATTTTAAAGGAATGTGTCAATTTCATTTAGATTTTTAAATTTGTGCGTGCATAATTGTACATAATGTTCTTTTATCAGCTTTTTAAAAATCTCTGTGTCTATAGGAGATTTTCCTACTGAGAACTAGAGTGTGGTTTCTCGTCCGGTAGATAGTGGTTTGGATGCTGCTCATGGGTCCTCATAGCTTTTTCAGTAACACCTACTATGTGCCAGGCTGGGAGGCTGGGGCAGGCACAGTCCCTGTGATCACGGAGCTAGCGTCCAGGTAGGAGAGATGGACGTGGATGTGGGATGGAGATCAAGAAAAACAAAGGGACGTGACTTCAGAGGGAAGGTCGTGGAAAGTCCCTCTGCATCCTGCCTGACAGAGGAACCTCCGAGAAGTTCGGTTGCAGCGATCGCCCTCTCTTCTGCCTGTGTCTTGAGTTTGTGAGGCAGGGAGTGGCTGCAGAGCTGAGTGGAAGTGGACTGGGCCGTGTCAGTAGGTCACAGGATAAAGCAAGAGGCATCAGGAGGCCTGGCACCCTCGCCCAATCTTAGACCCTGTTCCTTTCCCACGACCCAGCAGCCTACAGTCTCCGTGATTTCACTCCTTTATCAAAGACACACCAGGGACCTGAAACGCTGGTTTTTATACCCAAAAGGACTTCAAAGGAGGAGAGAGTTCTGATGCTGCATCAAGGGGTTTCAAGAAATCTCCTTTCCCAACTTTTTCTTTAGCCCAGGTGGAGGAAAATGACATGAAAATGACTAATTAAAAATGGAACAGAGGGGCCAACCCAGTGGCGTAGTGGTTGGGTTTGCACGCTCCACTTCGGTGACCTGGGGTTCGCAGGTTCGGATCTCAGGCACAGACCTAGCACTGCTCATCAAGCCACACTGTGGTGGTGCCCCATACAAAATAGAGGAAGATTGGCACAGACGTTAGCTCAGCGACAATCTTCCTCAAGCAAAAAGAAGAAGACTGGCAACCGATGTTAGTTCAGGGTCAATCTTCCCCACCAAAAAAAAATTTTTAAAAAAAGGAATAAAGAGCCAGCCCTGATGGCCTAGTGGTTAAAGTTCAGTGCTCTCTGCTTCAGCTGCCCAGGTTTGGGTCCTGGGTGCAGAACCACACCACTCATCTGTCAGTAGCCATGCCAAGGTGGCGTCCCACATAGAAGAACTAGAAGGACCTATGACTAGAACATACAACTATGTACTAGGGCCTTGGGGAGGGGAAAAAAAAAAGAGGAAGATTGAGATGTTAACAGATGTTAGCTCAGGGCCAATCTTTCCCAGTTAAAAAAAAAAGAATGGAAAGAGCCACAGCCAAGAAAGCCCAAGGAGTCACGACAACTAAAGGCAATGTGGTGTCCTGGATGGGATCCTGGGACAGAAAAACTAAGGAAATCTAAAAAAAAGTATGGATTTTAGTTAATAATCATGTATCAATATTTGTTCATTAATTATGACAGATGTGCCAGAAGCATATAAATGTTAATGATGGGTAAATGATGTATATGGTAGCTTTCTATACTATCTTCACAACTTTTCTTAAATCTAAAACTGCTCTCAAAAATAAAGTTTGTAGGGGCCGACCCCGTGGCTGAGTGGCTGTCTGCTCGCTCTGCTTCAGCAGCCCAGGGTTTCGCCAGTTCGAATCCTGGGTGCTGACGTGGCACCGCTCATCAAGCCATGCTGAGGCGGCATCCCACATGCCACAACTAGAAGGACCCACAACTAAAAATACACAACTATGTACTGGGGGGCTTTGGGAGAAAAAGGAAAAATAAAAATAAAATAAAATAAAAAATTTTGTAGGGGCCAGCCCCATGGCCAAGTGGTTAAGTTCATGTGCTCTGCTCCAGTGGCCCAGGGTTTTGCTGGTTCAGATCCTGGGCACAGAGATGGCACCGCTCATTGTGTCATGCTGAGGTGGCATCCCACATGCCACAACTAAAATATACAACTATGTACTGGGGAGATTTGGGAAGAAAAAGTAGAAAAGAAAAAAAAGATTGGCAACAGTTGTTAGCTCAGGTGCCAATCTTTAAAAAAAAAAGTTTGTAAAAAATAGTAATTATAAAAAATAACCAAATGGAATAGAACAGAAGGGTGGACTTCCTCCGTGCAGGCAGGTAGGGCCTAATATTACACCCATTACACAGAAGAAGAAAGTGAGGCCGAGAGAGACAGCACGTGGCTTGTCCTGGGCACACTGTTAGCATGTGGCAGAGCTGGAATCGATCGCAGGTTTGCCTGATTCCGAGGCTGGTGTTTTCACGGCAGCCTGGCTTCTGACTTCTCTCCTGGTTTGAGTTTAAAACCCATCGCATGGAGTGTGTCGAGTTGAACTGAATTTCTCCCTAAGCCCTGGGGTGGTGTCTGTTCTTCTAATAATTTTACAAGGCTGCCCCAATTGCTAGAAGAAACTTCTCTAATTTTAGTTAAATCCACTTCCTGACGTATCACGGGGCACGAGCTCGGTGCCAGGTTCTCTGAGGGGACGACACAGGCCTGTCTTCAAGGAACCGGAGACAGACCTAATGCAAGTCCTGAAGACCGTGTTCAGCGATGTCTGACTCAAGGCCTTGCCAGGCCTGTCATCCTGAGAACTTCCTGGTATGAACTTTAACCTCACCTCGACCCTGTGCCCACCTGGTGCCAGGTCCCACACCCTCTCACTAACACAACAGTCCATGGGGAGGTGGCCTCACCCCCACTTTGCAGATGAAGAAACTGAGGCTTGGTGGGGCATTTGTACCGTGCTGGTCTGAAGGGGAGCTCAGATGCTAGCCCAAAGCAGGCTGATTCCAGAGCCCAGTTCGCTACCACTCTGTAGCGCTGTCCCCCTTGTCTCCCACCCCTTCCCCTGAGACCCTCCCAGCCTCCCCCCGCCTCTGCCACCCCCAACCCCGCCAGCCTCACCTCGGAGCCAGCGCAGGAGGAAGTAATCATCAGGATTGCGCAGGGTGGGCAGCAGGTCCTGGACGTTCTCCCGGAACTGAGGGGGAGATATGAGGGTCAGAGGGGCTCCCAGGACCCCTGGACCCCAAACCCCATCCCTGACCCTGCTCCCCCTCAGCCTGCATCAGCCCTGCTCAGGGACCCACGCAGTTAGCAGCAGCTGGGAATGGGGCACCCCCAGCTCAACATGGCAGGAAGAGTTGGGTCCTTCTCAAACTTTGGGGCTTCTTTGCCACGCCAGGCCCTCAACTGTAGGTCCTAGGTGGGGCCCTGCCATCCCTGTTTTTACAAAGATCTCCGGTGAATCTGATGCAGGCCGACCAGAACATTTTAGGACCGTTGCCCCTCGTACTGCAGCTTGAGGGTCTGAATTTGGAAGCAAATTATTTAACCTCTTTGAGCCTCAGTTTCCCCAACTGTGAAATGGCGATAATGATAAACTTGTGCCAATCCAAGGAGTTTATGCAGGTAAAGCATTTCGCATCAGGCTTAGCTTGCAGCAGGTGCCAGATGAACGTGGGTGCTCAGCAAATGTGGTCGGCCTGGGGCCCCGAGCAGTGGAGTCTTTGTGGAAACAACCCAGGCCAAGGTCAGCAGGGAGGGACAGAAAGAGAGGCCAGGGATGCCTCATCCGGGGCTGGGGCAGAGGAGGGGCCTGGTCCGTTGGGGGTGCCTTTTCCTACTGGCCGAGTTTGGGGAAGTGTCGGGGGGTCTGGGTTTGGGACTAAGGCTCAGCTCTGAGAGGAGACCCCACTTCCATGGGGACTGAGGGAGCTGAAGACAAGGCCCAGAGGGCTGGGTTTGCAGGGGAACCTGTGACTGAGAATCTGGGGTTAGCCACAGATGCCAGCAAAGCCATAGGAAGCTGTCTTGACAGCCACCCACCAAACCACCTTTAGCTTTTTAAGAACGGATTCAGTACTGCTCACGGAATTAGAAGTGAATCATCACGTTAAACCTCTCCAGTGTTAACAAGCTGAGCGACAGCATCTCCTATAACAGTCCCCAGCCCGGACAGGCACCCGGAATGCAGGTCTGTGCACACTGAGCAGCTGCAGCCTCTGGGCTCCTAAGGGGCCATTTTTGGGGACGGGGGAGAGTACCCCCCCGAGAAGCAATAATTCCTCACCCCGCAGCCCCTCCAGGTAACCAGATTTCCTCCTTTGAACCTCAGGGTGTGCCCTGAGGCAGGAGGGGCAAAGATCACACCTCTATGTTGCAAATGAGGAAACTGAGGCTGGGCTGGCAGAGGCAGGGTCTTCCCCAGGGGAGTGAGGAAGCTGCAGGGCTAGGAGGAGGTCACACCTTCCAGTCTCCAGGCCACTCCCCTCTTGGAAGGAATGTCAGTAAAAGAGAAAGCCACTAGGCAGGTGCTGACAAGAGTCTGGAATAACTTGGGAAAAAACTTTATCATATGACGATGCCAAGTGGAGAAAGGAGCATCAGGCCATGTGACCACAGGTGGTCAAAACTAGGCTTAGGAAAACGCTAGAAGGAAATGCTCCTAGGTATGGTTGTCTGAGCCTCTGGGACCACGGGTGACCTCTTCTTTTTCTTCCTACTTTTCTCTTTTTGTCAAATTTTAAAAATAACGAGCTTTCATTTCTTTGAAATAATGGAAAAAATAAGAATAAACTCTTTTTCCCTTGTTTAAAGCTCTTTGGCCCACAGGCCACCCCTAAAGGCCAGGCGGCGAGTCCCTCCTATGAGCCTAGTGTCTGGGGCTTCCCTAAGGCTTTCACCAGTGGGGAGACAGAGGGGTCACCAGGGGACTCCCCCCGCTTCCCCTGCAGACCCCTCCTTCATCTGGAGACCCTCTGCTCCTAGAACCTCCTCCTCTACCTGGGAATCCACGCAGGGCCCTCATCCTTCACCTGGGGCCCCTCTCTTCTTCACTAGGAATTCACGGGGGGCCCCCCATTCACCCAAGGTCCTCATTCTTCCCTGGAGGATCCTCAGGTCCCCCCCAGGGCAGGAGCCGCGGAAGAAATTTCTCTCCACAAGTTGGCAGCTGCTCTTTCACAGGCCTAATGTGCGAGCCAGGGTTTGGAACCCCCAACCCCGAAATCAGCGTTTCCAGTCCCTGGCCCTCTGCAAACAGAATTAATGCTGTGGCACTGAGACCTGGATATGCTCCCCTTTCCCCATGGCCATGACACTACAGGTGAAATCACCCCAAACCCCTCCATTTCCCTTTAATGAAAACATAGCGAGAAGGCTTGGGCCCTGGGGAGTCAGACAGCCTCGAAGAAAAACCAACAAATGTTGCAATCTGGGCAGGGGATCCAGGAGTCTGTCTGCCCAAGGCTGCCCAGAAGCCTGATGGCAGTGCCCCCGACGCCCTCAATCAGGGAACAAGGGCCAGGGCTCAGTGATAGAGAGCCAGCAGGGGTGGAAAGCTTGATTTGGCCCAGAGTGGCCCAGACAAAGACTCCTGCCTGGGGTCCCGCACACAGCTGCCTCAGCGACTGTGCACTGGGGCCGGCAGGCTGGACAGAGGTGCCTCCAAGATCCTTCTCCAGGCTGCACAGGGGGCAGTCCAGGGGTGTGGGCAGCATCAGGCTGCTGGGGCCCCTCCCTAAGCCTCCCAGCCCGCGAAGCCCCTCACCCTGGCCAGCGCCTCCTGCTGCTGGGGGCTCAGGTCTCCAACTCGGCCGCTCATGGTGTCCACGGGCACAGAGGGCGCAGGGTGCAAGCGGGCAGGATGAGTCTGCCAGCTGGCCTCCTGGCCTTGCAGCCTGGTTTTGACAGATACTGGTCCCGCCCCAATGGGAGAGCACCAGTCCTGCCCTGCCCCATTCAGTTCTCACCTACTCTTGATTTTTTGGGTTTTTTTTTTGCCAGTCTCCAAGATGCATCCTACCCAAGGTAGGGAGGTGACCTGTCCCGAGAGGGGTCCCAGAACACAGAGTTGAGTTGGGGGTAGCAGGCAACCCCCTCTCACCTCCAGGCCCCCTCATCCTAGGGGCTCCTACAGGTTCCCCCGTGGCAGGGAAGGGGGAGCGCATTAAGGACCCTTGAGCAAGTTTCAGGGAACACCTTGAGATCCCCTTCCGAGCAAAATGGAGGAAATTTTTATAAACCTGGCTCAACCCTCTAGGTGGTCCCCAGGTCTTTCTGCCCAGCCCCCCTCCCCTGTTCTTGAATGCAGGCTGCGCCCTGTCAGTGCTCACAAGCTGATAGCAGAGCCCTTATGTGCAAAATGGTTCCAGCCTTCAGGATGGCTGGGAGGATTAGATAAGATGAGCCGCCATGGGTTAGCCTGGCACTGCACCCAGTAAGTGTGCGATGTTAGGAATATGGTCTCATAATTATTATTATGGATGCTGTCACCAGAGCAGTGAGTTGCAGGGGTGGAGATCCTGGGGAGGCCCCATGGTGAGCCCCTAGGTAGGAGCCACAGCTCAAAGGCCGGAGAGTGGGAGGTGACAGATGGAAGCCTTGGTGGGGTGACAGAAGGTTTGGGATGCCAAGAGGTTGTGGGTGGCGGACACAGGTGTCCAGGATGGCATCTGAGAGCCAGGCAGAGGTCACAGCCTGAAATGTTGTGCTGCCCATCCATGTGTACATAAATGTGATGATATAGTGTGGGTGGTAATTTTTTACCTTTAACTCTGCTCATGATCATCTAAGGTGACTGAAAAGAACTTTGGAAGCAAAATCTGTTCTGCTTTCAAATTTTGGAAACAACATTTCCCAGGTCAACTGGGGGAAGGTGAGAAAAAGCAAGTTGGCTAGGCAGGAATTTTCGAGAGATAGGAGCAGGTGAGAGGTGAGGATGAAGGGTCTTAAATCCAGCCAGCAAAACTTTCTCCCTCTGCCCTCCCTTGGGATCAAACCAAGTTCTAGGCGTGCACTGACCAATCTGGTGGCCACAAGCCACATGTGGCTGTTGAGTGTTGGGAATGTGGCTTGTCACAAGCATGAATGGAGATGTGCTGTAAGTCTAAAATACACACCAAGTAACGAAGACTTAGTACCCCTCTAATTTAAATATTTCATTAATTAATTTCTTATATTGATTACATGTTGAAACGATAATATTTTTGGATATATTGAGATAAATAAGATATATTATTAAAATTAATTTCACCTATTTCTTTTTTTTTTTTTTAAAGATTTTATTTTTTCCTTTTTGTCCCCAAAGCTCCCCAGTACATAGTTGTATATTCATTCTTCTTTGTGGGTCCTTCTAGTTGTAGCATGTGGGACACTGCCTCAGCATGGTTTGATGAGCAGTGCCATGTCCGTGCCCAGGATTCGAACCAACGAAACACTGGGCCACCTGCAGCGGAGCACACAGACTTAACCACTCGGCCACGGGGCCAGCCCCAATTTCACCTATTTCTTGTTATTTTTTTATAATTTAGAGTTTTTTTAAATTAACAAACTTTTTTTTTGGCGAGGAAGATTGGCCCTGAGCTAACATCTGTTGCCAGTCTTCCTCTTTTGGCTTGAGGAAGACTGTCGCTGAACTGACATCTGTGCCAATCTTCCTCTATTTTGTATGTGGGACGCCACCACAGCATGGCTTGATGAGCAGTGTATAGGCCCTCGCCCAGGATCTGAACCCACAAACCCTGGGCCACCGAAGTGGAGTGTGCAAACTCAACCACTATGCCACCGGGCCGGCCCCAACGAACTTTATTTTGACAACAGTTTTAGGCTCATAGCAAAATTGAGCAGAAAGTACAGAGAGCTCCCATACAGCTTCTGTCCCTTCACATGCACAGCCTGCCCTACTGTGGACATCCCCACCAGAGGGGTACAATTGTTACAATCGATGAACCTACATGGACACGTCATTATCACCCACGTCCGTAGTTCACACTAGGGTTCACTCCCGGTGTTGTCTGTTCGATGGGTTTGGACAAATACGTAATGACATGGAGTCACCATGGTAGTGTCATACAGAATAGTTTCATAGTCCTAAAAATCCTCTGTGCTCCATCTATTCTTTTTAATTTTTAAAGATGTGGCTGCCAGAAAATTTAAAGTTATCTGTGAGGCTCACATTTATGGTTTGCACTATATTCCTCTTGGACAGGACTGATCTCGAGGGATTTTAAGTCAAAAAAAAAAAAGAAAAGAATCACAAAAAGCTAAAAGAATGTAAGAGTGAGGCTCATCACCGCTCTGGAGGAGCATGGTCTGTGCTTAAAAGCGGTGACAGAATCGCAAAGGGACAATCAATTGATTTGGCTACATAAAAATGCAAAAATATGCTAAACAGGAGACAGAATTAAGGCATTAAGTCAATATTTGCTGATGTGAATTTGGGGAAATAAAATGTATGAAAATTGGTATCTTTATCAAGAGTGCATACAAATTGATAAGAAAAATAGTAAGGCAGTAAAAAACGGGCAAAGGACTCAAAACACTGATTTTCAGAAGAGGAAATACACAGGGGAAATAAAAAAATGCATAAATACTCAACCTCCAGGTCATCAAAGAAACGGGTGTACGAGCAAGGAGACGCTTTTTCCTCCAGCAAATCAGTGACAAAACACGACAAAAAACACACACACGCACGAAACCTTTTTTAAAAACATGATAATAAAGTTAGGTAGAAGTTGGTGAAATGGAGACGTTCAGACATTGCTGGCAGGACTGGAAATTGGTTCAGCTTTTCTAGAAAACTAGTGGACAATATTCATTAGGATCCCTCAATAGTTTACCACATTGCCCAATAATAATCCTAAGTAGCAGAAAATATTTTCAGCTGAAAGCAGTCTGTGTATTGTTAATAGGAACATTGGAAACGATTTTTCAGGAAACCACGGTGCTTAATGTGATAGGTGAAGGGTTTACAACAACATGGAAAAAATACCACAAAACCATTTGGAAAAGACAGAAGCACATGATATATGCCCTATAGATACAAAAGAAGATCCAGACACGAAAAGAAATTTGTCCCCAACATTTTGCAGTCTCGGAGGAACGGGAAAAGTCATTATTTTTAAAATGCTGCAAGTAACAAGTCACCTGCAAAGAGAAGCCTTTATTTAACCAGCGCTTACAGCCGTTTTCCGTGGGCCAGGCCCCCTTCAGAGGGCTTTGCAAATATTTGCTCAGTGCTGTCTGATAGACAGATAATGGGAGCCACAGAGGGAACTTTAAATTCTCTAGTGGCCTCATTAAAAAATTTGACTTTAATAATATATTGTAGTTAACGTAGTGCATCCAAAATATTATCATTTCAGCATGTAATCAATATGATCAATAAAAGAGATAAGTTAATGGGGCCAGCCCCGTGGCTGAGTGGTTAAGTTCACGTGCTCCACTTCAGTGGCCTGGGGTTTGCCAGTTCAGATCCTGGGAGCAGACATGGCATGGCTCATCAAGCCATGCTGTGGTGGCATCCCACAGAGAAGAACTAGAATGACCTACAACTAGGATATACAACTATCTACTGGGGCTTTGGGGAGAAGAGGAAAAAGAAAAAAAGAGAAGATTGACAACAGATCTTAGCTCAGGACCAATCTTCCTCACCAAAAAAGAATTGAATGCCTCAAACTCCTTTAAAAAAACAAAAAGAGGTACGTTAATTCTCATTAATAATTAATAATGAGATATGTTACATGCTTTTTTTCTGTACCAAGTCTTTGAAATCCTGTGTGCATTTAGTATATCATATTTCATTTCTAACCAGCCACATTTCAAACGCTCAATAAGCCCCATGTGGTGTTGTGGGTTGAATTTTGTCCCCCACCCCTGAATTCATATGTTGAGGTCCTAACCCCCAGTACCTCAGAATGTGGCCTCTCTTGGAAACAGTGTCGTTGCAGGTGTCATTAGTTAAGATGAGGTTGTAGTGGATTGGGTGGGCTTCTAATGCAATACGACTGGTGTCCTTATAAAAGGGGAAATTTGGATACAAACATACACACAGGGAGAACGCGTGTGAAGACGAAGGCAGAGATTGGGGTGATGCTTCTACAAGCCAAGAAATGCCCAAGATTGCCCGTTAACCATCAGAAGCTCGGGGAGAGGCGTGGAACAGATTCTTCCTCACAGCCCTTGGAAGGAACCAACCCTACCGACACCCTGACCTTGGACTTCTAGCCTCCAGAACTGGGAGAGAATAAATTTTGTTGTTTACAACTCTCCGTTTGGAGTACTTTTGTTACGCCAGCCCTTGCAAACTAATAAAGGTGGTCAGTTGCCCTATTGGACAGGGCAGGGTTAGCTCATTTCATCCTCTGGACACATTCTGAGGTGGGCGCCATCGTCATCGTTGTGCATGGACCAGGAAACCGAAGCTCCAGGAGCGTCCCAAGGTCTCAGGCAGCAAAGTTGGGATGGGAAGCCGGGCAGGCTGGTGCTGGTCCAGGTGTGTCCTTCTGCCTGCCAGGCTCCGTGGTTCCAGGTCATCTCAAGTCCCTGTCTTTCCAGCCCAGGGTACGTGTCCTCCCCTGAGCCTGCAGCACCCCGCCGCCTCCTCAAGCAGCAGCTATTGCTGGGCATGCAGGACCTTCATTCTAACTCTCTGGGTGCCAGTGGTTTGGAAGACAGACGACTCCCCTCTTCCACGCTGCACCATCTCCTCCCACCTTCCGAATGTGGCTCTTTCCCTTGGTCCCCCTGACCTGTGGGCTGAGAAGCTGGACTGGGAGGATGGTGTTGTCTTGGTCCGGAACCCCAGTCCCACACCTTCCTGCCCACCTACCACGCTGCCTCTCCCTCCCACCTTCCAGATGCTTCTACAA